TATTATTAATTTCATTGTAGATCCATTTTCTCTGCGCTCAGGTTTTAGTGGCTGTTTGGACTCTACTAATATCTTACATGAGCCACTTGATGTATCGGTGTAATAGAACCCTAAACGGTAGCACTTTCCAGCGCGCAAGCTATCTCTATGCAAACTAACAACCCATTGCTCGAGTATTACGTGATTGAAAATACTAAACAACTAGAAACTTACACTTCTTTTAGTTATAATATTAGAAATATATATTATAAATATATATTTTGGAAGTTAATGTAAGTTAATATAAGAATGATTACTTTTAAATCTATACTAATACATATTATAAGCCTGAGATTACTCAGGGATCAGAAAATCCAACTTGTTTTTTTTTATTAGATAGCCCATTTAGTAAGGAAGGCCATCCTCAATAAGCGTAAATACATTATATATATTAATATATTATGGGATATATATCATATAATATGTAGTCTATCTATTTCATACTAATCGTTAAAACGTAGGGACGAACCCGAGCGAAGCGAGTGTAAATCGCTAGTATCTAATATGTTCTTGTCTTCGCTAGAGGACCTTAATTGTGTATTACGTATGTTAAACAAAGATTGTGTACGGTTATAAATACAAGTAATAAATCACAAATACGCGACACATTGGAACAATGCTGCAGAGAACAATAAGCATAATTAAAAGAAAACGAAAGCGTACACGCGTGGTACGTTATAGGAGAGTTGAATAAAATCTATTTTTTTAAAGTAACATATTTAATAATAGTTATTTATAAGTATATTAAAAATCAATATCCACGTAAGTGATAAGAAGCCTTAAGTCAGAATCACATCAAACATATAAAGACTCTCACACAATTGCTTTATGGACTCAATATTAAAGGTCAGATGGTAAATAACAGATATTGTATAGAATTGCCTATACAAAAACAATGTAATTGAAGGCATTATCATCTCTATGCAGAATCATAAAACATAATCCAGCTTCACATTATTTAACAATGTTGACATAGCTAGCAACACTTTCTCGCGCTCACTTTCCCGCGCCGCGTGCCGCGCGCGCCTCCTGCACCTCGCCGCGGAGTGCCACTCGCACATGTCTACATGACACTGCTACGTATGTACATATGGTTGCACTTAATTACGCAACTTATCTGATGGAACTCTTTGCTTTCATTTTATTATGTTGACATTTATATATTAATTAATTAAACGTAATACTATATTTTTTTATCCATAACATACCTCACGTATACGAGTATATAAATAATATTTTAAATTATACGTCATTGGGTTGGTTTTCATAATACTTTCTTAGTCTCAAAGATATCTGTCTTAGTATAAAAGATTATATGAATATTTTTCATTTTAATCCCTCCACGACCGCGGACACGCCGGCGTGTCAGTTAACAATAGATTTCTTAGAATTTTAATTAATTTCTTAGAAATTTACCTGGAGGTATTAAATTAATACTGTTTTAATAGTACAATTATAATGTATTTTTTAAATATTTTTATTTAAAGTTGATTGGTTTTTCTTATAAAAATATAGTAATTAATATTTATGTTAGGCAGTGTTTAATACTTAGGATATTATACTTTTATAGATTTACGCGAATAGTTGACATTTTTTTTAATATTTATATAAAATAAGTACGCGGTCTACATTTTTTTTTTTGATAAAATATAATGGTTATTGCTAACATAGACGTAGCCACGCACTGAAGCGCGTTGAAGTCTTTATAATCGTAATAAAGACATCAACGCGCTCGCTACGTTACTGTTTTTATATTCATTCATAGTAATTAAAGTGAAGAGCGCTATTCAATTTTACATTTAAAAGATACTGCAGTCAAATGTTTATTATTTACAAAAATGATATAAAGATTCTTGATAGCTTTGAAATTACCGAAAAAGTATGTTTTGATATGTGCAGTGTGCCTTGTACTTGCTTTACAATGTATTTATGATCATTCTATTGTTTATTATAAGAACGAGTACGTTGAAATGTTTTTTTTTTATAAATATGATAACTATCAATCTATGTGTAAGCAACACTTGTCGATGAGATCACGGAGCAGATGATTGTCGAAGCTTTAATGTACGACCATTATTTCACAAATATAAATCAAAATATGATATTTGATCTAATTTGTTACAATTTTCACAACACCTGCCCTGCTGGTGACCAGCATAACAACTTTTCGAAATCAAAATTATGATGTTATATAAATTAATAGATTTAAAACGACTCTCCAAATAACATCCATTACTTTTCGCTCTACTATTGCACTAGATTTTAGAAGACCTCCGAAGTGGCCCGACGATATTAACCCCTATGGGTCGATATGAGATAAATTAAAATTGAAGATGCATCAAATACAAACAGTTTGTATATTTTTCTTCACTTTCCTATACCTTCTCACCACTCTGCCCTCCAGCGTACGCTTACATGAAGATAATGAATGCATTTGAACGAGCTGAAGAGTTACATAGGCTATATTTTATTCCAGTATATCAATTGATTCCAAATGGGGTATTAATGAATGAAAAGTAAATATATATAACCTACACTGTAATCGAATGACACTGTTTCTGTATTTTATCTTTAATGCATTAGTCTCAATACTTCTATTATGAACTTTAAGTTAGGACTCGAATTATGAAATCTTTAGTATCTGCCGATGGTCGCGTAACAAGCAAACTTGCCCGTTTAAAAGTTAGTGACTTAACGACCGCGGCCCTCCCGCCTCCGACATTATTACTGAGTCAAACAAACTGCGCGACGCGACACGACGCGACGTCGACGAATATTACTTAAATTGATAATAAACTATATAAAATATTAAATATGACGATGGATCACTTTATGTTGATTCTATTATTATTATAAGTAATAACTATACTCATTTGGATATTATTTAGTATCACTGCTGTATAGTTTTTTATGTAGCACAAGTAACGACTAATAAAGTAATGATTATGTTGGTGACAACTTATCAATACTATAAATTATAATAAATCCATACTAATATTATAAATGTGAAAATGTGTTTGTTTGTTTGTCCTTCTTTCACGTCAAAATGGATTGACGGATTGGCATGATTTTTTTGTATTGAGATAGTTGGAGGGCTTTTTATCGTGGGAGATTATATCATTCCCATGGGAAAACACTTTATAATACAACCCAAAAAATCATTTATGATCAGAATTACTTGAAACTTGTTTTTAATGGTCTTCAATATAATTAAATAAATAGGTGTTTCAGTATTTTTCGAAATCCATCTCATAATGGGGTAAAATAGGGACTGAAAGTTTGCATGAAACCTACCTTTTTGTTTTTTTTTGTAGTTTTAGCGCGATCGAAGCCGTGGGTTCTGCTAGTAATATGTAAAGCTGTTCTTTACTTTTATTTTAATAAGGAAAATTACTAACGCATCTCTCGTAAATACATATATTTCTTGGATTACTTATTATAAAACAGAAATAAGTGGCGGGTAGTCGAGGAGGTAAACCACGTGGAATGTCTTTGCTTATGAAACTAAGTGGGTGCACTAAAAGCAATTGAAAAGACACGTGTCGCAACAACTTATTATGCTGATTCCCACAGCGTTGGTAAACTCCAGAATGTACTTGTGCAATTTGTACTATGTTATAATGTATGACTTGTGAGTGTCTCAGACAAAACGTCGTTCATGTTTTTATATGAAATGCTTATCCATTCATTTTATCCTTTCTTTGATATATTCAACATTTTAAAATATGAGTTGGATTGAACGGGATTAAATAACAGCAAATAAATAAATATGTTGTGTATACCAGTTTGTTGATACACTACACAATATATATAATTTTAAATACATACATATTATAAATATAAGCACCCATGACTGGAGTACAAACATTCGTGCGGATCATAAAATAAATGCCCCCATGGACTCGAACCCGCGACCGCTGGCACAGCAAAGAGGGTGACTACAAACGGAGCCAAATGTGTCGTCAGTTAGTTTAGACTTTAAACACTAATAATTTTATATATATTAATTAACATGAAATATACTATTGTAAATATATATTATAATTAGAATTAAAACAAAATATAAGGTGTAAATAATATAATACGGTTTTATTTCGTAAGATTAACAAGTAAGACTTAATTTTAATGTCCATTGAGGTTATCTCGAATCTACAAGGCAATAAACTTGACTGCTTTATATGTTAAATATGAATAACAACATACACATATAATATACCTGTTTCGTATAAAAATATAATTACTTATCTCTCCATAGGCAATGTGTAGTGTCGTGCAGTCTGTGACATCTCCCTGTACACGCCCTGACTCCCTGAGTATAATTCCAGAGTACCCTCGTCGGATTCTCTCTCAAAATTCCTTCCTTGGGTCCGTCTTTGAGAAATTCCGCGCGTGCCTCGGACTATGAACTTTTTATTTGCTACTTAGACATACCTCCTTTAAAAGTGTAGCAAAAATAACAATGTATGTATATTATTTCAAGTGTTGTTTATATAATCATGGACTATTACGTACAGTATTTTATTACTCATCTTTCGTCATGGTCTTAGCTACAAAATTTTAGATATCTTATCTTAGGCATGTACTAAATATTTGTATAGAGAACTTTTTGTTTTAAATTGTCAGTATGCAATATTTTTCAACGACTAGATAAATAATAAAAAATTACTGCACACTACAGTTTGCATATGTGTATGTATAAATAATCTATTGCTATTCCAGTTCGCGTTAAAATTTATGAAACAAATGATATTATTATAAAAGTAATAAATAAGAAATACATTTATCAATCCCCTTAGATGACAAATGAAATGATATAACATTCGACAATCAAATTAAAACTTTGTTAATTACAAAACCTGATTCACACAATTATGAGGTTGTAGATCATTTGTATCTCTCAAATTTATCCTAAACCCCTACAAAGCGTTCGTAATACGAAACAAGAACAGCGAACAGCCGCGATGTGGGATAATGCTAACACCGCTGCGGGTACCGTTGAGTCTGACCCACTGGTCGCGAGGAATGCGTCGCGCATACATCGCTCCATCGATTCTACCGGTCTAGGATGGAGAGCAACACACTGGGAACATAGCAAGCGATGGAAAGCGACCGGAGTGACCGTTATTTGTGACCGAGTATCGCGCGCTCAATGCATGCTATCATCATCTGTTGCTAAGATTCGATCTTTAGCGATTTCTACAACGATCTCTGTCTCTACATCAGTATAATGGTATAGTTCTTTAGATTAAAATTTTTGTATTATACGTAATATTTATTAATTATATTATGATTTTTTTTAATTTTTAAATATGAATGCATTTATTATGATTTTTATTTATTTTGATTAATGATGTTATGTAAAAATGTTTTTTATTTATTTATTAAGCATCAGCTTTAAAAGCTCAAGTCAAGTTTGTAGGCATAAGTTGTTGTGTACTACATCTTTAAAACTTTCTCTATTTTTTTGAACGCATAAGAGGCTTAACCGTTTTAGCATTTAATATATGGATTGACTCTTTTAAGAGACCACGTGACGATGTGGCAGTATATGTACAGCGCAACGGAGATCGAGAGTTTTATTATTTATTAAATTATTTATATCCTGCTTGCCTACGTATCGTCAATTAAATATTTTAAGATACGAAAGCATAAATTAAGTAGTTTAAAAAAATAGAGCTGTGGCTCACTGTGCTACGGCTACCATGATATGACTGTTAGCCTAAAAATAGTCTTACATATAGTATAACTAACCTATAACTATTATGAAAAAAATCTACTTTTCTCACTCGATGCTTTCTACCTCAAATTTTTAATTATTTGTTCCACAATATAATTTTTTAACCAAATTTAAAAATACTCTTCCGAAAAAAAAAATTTGCGAATTCTTCACTAATAACTTTTTTGTTGCTTACACTCCACGTTTTTCTGAGGGAGATGCGGGTTATTGACAAACGACGAACGTGTGAATTGATTCCAATTTGTATTAAGTTTCTTATCAATTTTCCTTTCTACTTCTGTGCAGTATGTATGGTGCGGAGCGCGAGCCGTGGGAAGTAGACCCGCTGTGTGAAAGTTATGATTTGTGACGAGTCGTTGTCTGCGCGGCGAAGGTCACGGCATCTATTGTCTCTAATATTTAATACTAGCAGAACTCGCGGCTTCGCTCGCGCTAAATCTACAAAAAATGTCTAAAAAGGTAGGTTTCATACAAAATTGCATCCCCAATTTTACGTCCTCATGGGATGAATTTTGAAAAATGCTAAAACATGTATTTATTTAATTGTATTGAAGAACATTTACACCAAGTTTCAAGTAATTCTGATCATAAATAATTTTTTGGGTTGTATTATAACCTGTTTTCCCGTGAAAAGTAGCCTATGTCACTCTCCAGCCCTCCAACAATCCCCACACAAAAAATCACGCCAATCCGTCACTCCGTTTCGATGTGAAAGAAAGACAAACAAACAAACACACTTTTACATTTATAATATTAGTAAAGTGTGGATTGACGCTTTATATAATAATCTGAATCTTCACATTCTTCTTTACTTAAGATACGTTCAGATAAAATTGCTAAAAACTCTCCGAAAACTTTGTAAGATCATAAAAATACTTTGACTAGAATTTTAAACTATTCAATGTGAAATTGGTATTATACTGATCATAAACTATAATCGTCAATTTTAATTATAACTATAATGTATTATGCTTACAGATTTAACGTTACATATTGCAAGTTATATCTACACAATTAATAATATTTATTTACTCTCCTTTTCAGATCGGGCTCAATTAATTTAGCGGCTACATTGAGAAGTAACTTGAGAAGTTGAGAGCCGCACACTAATTTTAGTGCAAATCTGATGCATAAATTAGGCGGAGTATAAACATTGCCAAATGGTGTCCAAAACCATCGCACATCTCCACCCGGCTCGTAAACAAAATGAATACAAGAACTAGAGCGGTCAGGAATGTTGGCGCCGGCGTCAGAGCATTCTTAGCGCAAGTTGCAAACGGATAGCGATTTCAGTAAAGCTTATAATTTTTAACTCTACAAAAGGATTCTATTTTGTAGAATTGGCACTAGATGATCTCTCCTAAACTGAATAAATTAAGGTATTATTAAGTGGAAATAGTATAAGTTACTTATAAGTGAAATTGATTGAGAACTATCATCATAATAATATACACAGCACACAGTGTCCTGGTCGTTTAAATGATGTGTACTCGTATAATATGTTAGAGCAGCTTGTAGCGGTCGCCGAGCGCGGACATGATTTACATACGCCGACATTTGGCGCTAAGTTGTTAACATTAAAATATGCACCGACGCCTCTAACGCGCGTTATTCAAATATGATCGCTTTAACAATAACATCGCATGGATGCTGCCACAGATTGGTTTATTAGAATGTAAAACAGGGAAGCGAATTTGAAGATTAAAATGTTTTTATTTATATTTAAGTGTATTTTTTATAGTTGCAAAATGTAGTACAAAATAACCTAAGATCAACGTTTTCGAAGGTCGATCAGGTCAAAGGTATCTGGGTCATGTCCTTATAAGAAAGTAAGCCCCTTGGCTTAATCGTAGATAAAATCTCTCTTTACCAATATTATTTTATACTCTTGTTCTAAAGCGACTATACATATTTGCTTCAAATAAATATTAATGGAATACTCTTATTTTCGACTTCTTAGTATATTCTTGTTTTTGAATTTGTTTTGAACTAATTGTAAGTGAAGAACCAGTTATTACAAGGAAATTTATCATTTGCTATTAATTTAGTAGCATTGATTTCTTTTTACTACGATAAATATTTTGATACGTAATAAATATAAAGTAATAAGTAGATAGGTATTAATTAGTAGTTGTTAGATATAATATTTTATTTATGAGTATGAGCCACTTCTATGTAAAACTCAGAGTAAAAACAACAAAAAAAAATTATGTACAATAATCTCGATGTAACTATCGGGGCCTGATTGAATATTATATAAGTCGTAAATACAATATATTTTCTTTTCCCGTGTAATTAGGTACCCCCGCGCTGCGGCGACAGACGCGTTGGTCAAATACTTCGGCTCACTACAAATACAGAACATTAGAACGGTTCCTTGCTTACTATTATCTTTATTTTTGAGATTTTATCATTCTTTAATAAGTAGAAACAAGTAACAATATCAATTGTAAGAATTTGTTCTACTCCATTAATGGCTGTTGAACTAATGAACGAATAAATTGAAAATCTTTCTTATTCGTGTACAGAATAAAAGACACTAAGTGAAATTTAATGACCGCGAATCTTTTACTGATGACTTCAGTTTCCGCAAGTCATAAAAAGAATGTAACGCCCCGATACAAAACAATTTCACTCAATGGAAGTGTAGGCTTCTTTTAGCTTTATATAAAATTTACTTCGAAGCAGACTCGTATCATGCAAAAGAGGCGCAATGCGGTGGCGACAAGTTTGTATGAAAGTTAGTCGGATGTGTGAAGTGACTGTTACGACTTACGAATATAGTTTCCACTCACTCTGTGCCCTGCTTTTCATCTTTATATTCTATATACATATATATACGTTGTATTGTATGTTTACTGAATAGGGGCGAACCTGTATGTAATTTCTATACGCCACGGCTTCTAGCTTGGTAGTGATATTCTATCGGATGTACTTACAGTGTACTGGAGGGATCTTATTTAAGCTGAATAATTAATTGAAACGGAAAACAGTTTTAAATGTAACAATTTCCGGTAAGTTGTCGTAACTCGTAACGAGCGACGCGTCAAGTTATCTGATCGCAGATTACATGCAGTGTCCGGCGCACACTGTGGACCAACTTTCTCGTCGCGGTCCCGCGCCGAGCACACTGTCGTCTAATTGAAGCAATTATTTATCATGTATCTAGTGTCTGAGCTTGATTACTGACTTTTAATTCTTTACAGAAAAAATATTCATGTTTTTTATATATTTTAGGTTAATAAAAAGATCAAGTACTCGTTTTAGCGGTGTTTAGAATAAATGAAAGTTTAGAAATATAAAAATCTTGCCAATTATAAAATTCGCGCGTCATTTGTTGATATAAGAATGTAATAATGACATACTTTTACCCTGAAGGAACACTAGTGCTTTTGATATCTGTATTTTAATATTATAAATGTGAAAGTTTGTGAGTATGGATGTTTGTTACTCTTTCACGCCTGAACGGCTGAACGGATTTGAATGATATTTGGCACAGAGATAGATTATAGTCTGGAATAACACATACGCTACTTTTTATCCCGGAAAAATGTACGGCTCCCGTGGGATAAGTTTGTTTTTGTTTTCCTAGAGAAGCGAACACGAGCGAAGCGAGAGTGAGCCGCTAGTTATTTTTGTTTTTTTTTTTATTTAGTAGCTATATTTTTGAAATTTAAATCAGAAAATTTGTGAAATTTAAAAGAAAATATATATTAATATTTTTTTAATAATGACAATCTCAACAGATACGCGTTGCGGGTCTGCGTACAGTTTTGATTGCGAAATAGCAACTCACGACAAGGAATCGAGTCGCAAAGAATCTATCGCTTGTTCCCACGACCTCCTTTAATTATTCATCCCATATACTGAAGTCATTGTTGTAATACAGACTCATTAAATATAATTATAGCATTTCTTTGGATTTCATAATGTAAACAAGCGACTCAGCCTCGCTCCGCTCGGGTTCGATCATACTTACGTTTTAACGTTTCGTATAGATTTCTCAGAGATGAGATATTTTCCCGCAGTAAAAAGTAACCAATAATCATCAAAATGCCTCCAGTAGTTTTTTCTTGACGCGACAGACAGACAAAAATTCTAAAAACTATAGATCCGGCCTCTGTATCGACAATAATGTTTAGTATTTCAATAAGATTTTCCAAATAATATTTAATGTACATATTCGTCTTAGTTACAATTTTATTATATGTATAGATTAGTATAACAAGTGTCAGTTAGCCGTTACAATTTCCCTAAATCTGCCAATAGTGGAACGGTCGGTCTGACGGGGGATACTTTAGAACTTCGACCCGAGACTAATAACGTACGCGGTAATTGACGGTGCTCAAATTTTTGGAACTAAAAAGAAAGTTTTTAACGCGCTTTTAATAGCTTCACTTATAACAAACTAACAAACATTGTATTAAAATCTTAGAAGTCCATTTTAACCTACTTCTAATTGTCGTATTGAAATGAAACTTTGTATGTATGTATATGTAGTTCGAATGACATAACTATAATTTGGTATCTTGGAGCTGATCTGATGATGGAGCCAGGAGGTGGAAAGTGGAACTCGCCACTGAAGAGTCAAGAGAGAGTACTAGAAAACCCACGAGTTTAGGCTGATATAATTCGTTTTGAAGAGTCCAATAGATTTTTATAATTATTAGTCTAGTGGGAAGACTCGAACACAAAAATGTAAAGATGATTAAGAAATAAAAACTATTTTTATTTTTATTTATTTTATTAGTACATAGTGTATGATAAAAGCATCTTTTTTTAGTTTTGTTTTAAACTACATGTTTTAAGATAACATTTATCTAATCAATAAATTGATTTGAGTATAAATGAAATCAAGAGCTTAAGAACTTTCATAATAATACAAATCATTATCCTCAATGTTAGTTTAAGACATGATTTATAATTTACATCGCTCTCTCACATACTTATATATTGTAGGTCACCTGCTTACATGTCTATGTACGATATATTTTTATTTTAAGCGCGAGTAGCTCTAAATGCATTTAAAAGACACATCGAGTTAGCATACAAATTGTTGTTATCGCGCGCGCGCGGCACGTCGCGAGTTACCTCTGATTTATTCGTATATATATATGTACATTTGTAAACATATTTTTACTACTCTCTTTCTTTTTTTTTTGAATTTATGTACACATGCATTTTAGACACATATCAGATGCACATAATTTTATATTTAAAAATACCAGAAGCAAACACAAAGTTGTAATTTCTGTGTCTTTCCTACACTTCTTTTTTCATCTATCTTTTCCATGTTTTTACGGCATTAAAGCATAAAGCATTAAATAAACTTATATTCCTAGATTTAAAAAATATTTTTGCTTTGTTCTAATCAATTTATTTTATTTTTCATTACAAAATTGGAATATAATAGAACCTAGGAGACTTCTTATCTCTTTTTATATATATATATATATATATATATATATATATATATATATTGTTGTAATTGGTATTTTTTGATAATACGTTGAAAATTTTAACTAATATGTGTTTTAAAATTACGCGTGCAATTCGAAAAAAGAAAGAAAAAAAAAATCAAACAATACTTAAAAATATTCATGGCCACGAGTAATATGTAACTTTTAGTATTAGTACAAGATAAACAAGAGACAGGTAGTACTTTAATGAGATTATAAATTGTTAAGCTAACTCCATGTGCGCATGTGCATAATATGCATGTCTTAGTTTCATTGGATATGCCTTTTAAAATAATTAAAGAATAAAATAATTTCATATTAAAAATAGTGTTAGCCCAGTGGTAACGCGCTCGCTTGGAAAATCGTGTGAAGCGATTTCAAATCCCGGGTCTCGCACCTCTGATATTTTCACGTGCAAATCATTCCGAACATGATTACCACTAGTCTTACGGTGAAGGAAAACAACGTGAGGAAACCTGCACGTCTGAGAGAACCTAGCAAGTTTTCAAAAGACATGTGAAGTCTGCCAACCCGCACTTGCCCAGCGTGGTGGGCTGTGGCCTGATTCCTCTCGTAAGGGAGGCCCGTGCTCAACAGTGCGACGTTAGAAAGGACTGAATACTTTCACACATACATTCATAAAAAAACATAGTTTTGCTCCACAATGAGCGATTAAGATTTATTTCTAAGATCAAACATTTGACACGTTACGATAACAATTGAGATAACGATCAAAACTCAGTGGAAAGTCGAGAGAGGTGTGTTGAATCCATAAACCGAACTTTAGAGTTGTAGCACATCAAGTAAAGATATTTGTTTTACTTATATACATATACATTCAATAGGAAAATCTGTATTTTTAGCCTTGTTACGGGAAACTTCGTAAAGGTTTTTAGAAACACATGAAGATATCGTTTTTTTCCAAAATAACCAAAAATTGTATCATGTGTAAATTATTATATCTGGTATAAATCAAATAACTAATTCAATAATTTTGTACCACTTGCTCTTTTTTCAGATAAACACAAGAATCAATGAATACATTACTCATTGCTCAATATATTACCTATGTTAATTTTTTTCGAAATACCTAATGATTACTGCAAAAACTCAAGTAGTTCATACAAAGTATTATTAAAAAGTTCCGTTAATGGTAACTTACAAAAATAAACCTTATAGAAAACATTTTTATAATGACGCCTCAATAGTGCTTGTAAAAGTGAAGTGAAAAAAGTTAATTTTCATATTTTCATATAATACATAAATAGTAAGTATTGTAAAAGATTTGTGTCTACTACATTCATGTTTTTTATATATTATAACACACTTCAAGAATGATACGATCATCTCGATGCTACTGCAATATTGAATAAAACTATAATGTTTGTGCTCATATAAAGTATCATAAATTGACAAAAAAATAAAAACCGACTTCAAACAAAAGCACTAAAAAGTAAAAAATAACTAATTGGTAGTTTTCATTTACTATACATACCTAATCAAATATTTTCGAAGTCGGTGTGCTTTATGTTGTATTGTAGGTGTAAGGTGTATGTAAATAGATTGTTTGTATAGTTGCTTACCAATAAGCAGCAGCAGCGCTACCGCCGCCGGACGCATCGCGAGATATCTGAGGCACTGTTAGATAACGATGTGGTCGACACGGACTGTACATGCGCAGGCGCCGGCGCGTGGCGAGAGACTGCCGCGACTTGGCTGGCTGCGCGCGGCGGAGATGCGACGTGCTTAATAAAAATATTTCATTAAAACTCCCTAACATAAAATGTATGCACACAACCTACCTACCACAACTCTTAATGTCACATATTATAAAACCTTTAAAAAAAATGAAAACCGACTTCCAGGCACTAAAATGTAAAAAATAACTAAACGGGGATTTTCATTTAGAGTAGATACCTAATCAGATATTTTCGAAGTCGGTGCCAGCCGATGTAAAGGAAATCTATACATATAATAAAATACTAACTAATCCGAATCTGTACATTAAATATTTTTTGGAAAATCTTATTGAAATAGACATTATTATCGATACAGAGGCCGATTCTGTTATTTTTAGGATTTTTTCTGTCTGTCTATCTGTCTGTTTGTCACCGCATCATGGGAAAACCACTGTAGAAATTATGATGAAATTTGGTATGATGGTAGCTGGTCATCCGGGTCAACATATAAGATACTTTTTAATGCGGGAAAATATCTCATCTCTGAGAAATCTGTACTAAACGTTAAAACGTAAGTAGGGACGAACCCGAGCGTAGCGAGGGTGAGTCGCTAGTCAATACGTAAAATACATATTTAGTCTAGTCAATACGTAAAATACATATTTACCTATTGATATTCATATCTTAAAATATTGTCGGCTGGCACCGACTTTGAAAATATTTAATTAGGTATCTAATCTAAATGAAAACCCCCGTTTATTTATTTTTTACATACATTTTAGTGCCCGGAAGTCTGTTTTTTTTTAGTTTTTATCTTTCCATTTTTACTGTAGACGTAATAAGCAGGTAATTTGTAAGAAGAAAGTTTTTTAATAACATATTCGATTAAATAATTTATTTAAAAAAATAATTTATTGTTTATTTTTTAAAAACCGCTCGACCAATTTCGATAAATATTATTTGCGACCATCTGAGAAGTATACCCTTTGAAACAAAAAAAAACCAAATCGGTTCAGGCGTCTTCGAGTAATCGGTGAACATACATAAAAAAAGATTCCGACGAATTGAGAACCTCCTCCTTTTTGGAAGTCGGTTAAAAAGAAAAAACCTACTATCTTATGTCAAGTATTAACACAATACCACACAAGTTGTACTTTTACGACTAGCGAAAGCTATTCATTGTTCAAACATAAGATGAACTAATGAATCATCATCGCTCCGCTCGGGTTCGTCCCTGGTTACAATTTAACGTTTATTATAGATTCCTCAGTGATGACCGAAGAGATATTTTCACGCAGTATAAAGTATTCTATACGTTGACCCGGATAAACAGCTATTATCTTACAAAACTTTATCAAATCTGTTCTGTGGTTTGCTCGTGCGTGCCCAGACAGACAGACAAAAATTCTTAAAACTATAAATGCGGCACAGCGGCCTCTGTATCGATAACAGTGACTATTTTAATAAGATTTTCCAAAAAATATTCAATATACAGATTGGACTCAGAATCTTATTATAAGTATAGATTTATTAGGTTCTTCTATTTCTAATGTTACAGCTTTATTTTAAGACAATTCATACACATAACCAATAACGAAGAAAATTATGCAACAAACATTCACTATATTTGTGAACATAAGATTCACAAATATATATGAATATATTCTTTTTCTATAATTAAAGAAAAGAATGCTTGTTATGTATCTAAATATAGTAAATTCCCGCTACAAATTAAGCTCTCCTGGCTCCAGCGTGTCTTACGCTTCCATGGCTAATGTGGATTCTATGAAAGAGGATTATATTGGGGATGATATATCCTCATAGGATGCGAATTGCGACCCACTTTAAGAGACTCTGGCCGACAAAATATTTACGTCTGCCGGAAATTAAGCCGCCGTTGCAAGAAAGTTTAATCAAATTTCCCACCGCTCTAGTTTATAACCAAATATACCATTACAATTTAAAATAAGTTTGCGGCTCTCCGAAAGTTAATAAATGAACTGCGCGACTCGTCCTATAAAACAAGTCCATGCTGTGGCATCACTGCTTTCATCAGATACTATCGGCCTAAAAATCAACTTAAAGTAAATATGTATTTAAAACCGATATAGATAAACATTCTCTCGAAAATTAATTACAATTGATATTACATACACCTAAAACGATTCCTTCAGCAACTAAATTATATAATAAAGAAGCTAAAAAGCTAAACAGACATTAGTAGTGATAATTATGAGAATCTCATGCCATTTCACTTCAATCCTATGAGTAATTCCTACATGTTTCTTGTTTTTTGAACACATTTAAAATCATATAGATTTATCAACGATACATCTACCCTTAATTTTATCGGAAAAATTTCATATAAAATTCGAAAAGTTGGCTACAAGTGTCGAGCGTGCTGTGATGTTGCACATCGAATATGAATCTTTAACTGGTTTTATTATTCAAACGGACATTTCTCAACAGTTGAGCTCACAAACAGTAAATATATTTAAAATTACGAATTTCCACATACTCGATGGAATTAGCTTTACAAGCGTAAGCGTAAGCGAATGGACTCTTAGGTGGAATAATAATCGTAATTATTATGTAAGTTTTGTTACAGTATCAATGTGCCTGCAGTACAATGCAAAGCTCTACACTGCGCGACGTACTCCGCTTGCAAAATGTAGTTTGCTTTTTTCATGAGGAAGTTTGCGAGGAATTAGCGACGAGCCGAAGTAATCGTTGAGACTTGAGTAATATACGAGTGTAAAGCAAGCGAGGCCAAAATCTACGAGTACTTTCATGTGATTTTCTTTTTAAAATAAAAAAACATTACCGTTTGGTGATTATATGTATTATTTAAATTGATATTTCTGGTTATCATCAGATTTGAATTATTTTAGCTTCCGTTTTTGGATTATGTATAGTGAATGTGTAGGTATTATATACAATACTAAAAAATGAATGACCAAAATATACCACAGAGTAAGTATTTCTTTCGCCAACAAAGATATTACAGATTACTATTGGGTAGATAGATATATATTTTTTTAAAAGTAATGTTAAATTATTAAACTAAATATTATATAATTTAATGTCAAAAACAGTAATTATATTGTATTAAATTATACACATAAAAATAATATCTAAATACCCAATACCGTAATAATACCAGTAGCAATCTCAACTTCCTGGCGCTGCGCTCGCGCAACTGCGAGTAATCGCCATTGATTGCAACGCAATGATAATACAGACACCGGTTCTTTGCAAGAATATCGTTAAATCTTGAACCACCACACACTAATCTCAAATAGACTGTTGTAAATATTTAAAAATGAATCGAAAAGAATTTCAAACCGAAACAATATAATATTTTAATGGAGGAGACTGAGACCAGACCATATAAATTATATGAGATTGATAAAAACATTGTATGGAAATAATATATATAGTATTTTCATCAAATCGTCATAATAATATATTTCATCTCAAAAGTGAGCGAGGAGAGTAGGTAATAACTTTTTTATTACGTAAAATTAGCCTATAATATCAGTTACAATTCACTATGTGAATAGTTGTAACAGTGAAAGGGTAGCTTAAATAAATCAAGCTGATCTATTTCAGCTACGTTTCTATTCTCTTTTTAAAAAATCCATTTTTCTCTCCTGCGTTAACACAAACCCATGTCAATTTAGAAATATTCTTACTACATCATTATTTTAACCTTATTATTTATAATTAATTTATCATTTGCCAGAGAAAGTTTCTATAAAATCAAGTCAGTGTATACCAGAAATGAGCCGATACAAACAAACAGACAAAACGTTTGCAGGGTTTGTTTGGCATTTGGTAGCAATGTATAGTGCAAGTAACCATATTATACGCTTATGGGCTCTTTCGAAATCACTGATGTACATATACAATATAATGAATAATATAAAATTTTCAACTCGCATAAGCAGTGAATACAATACAAAAACACAATATTTTAAAAGATGCCACACATATGTACATATTACATGTAAGGTTAACGAGAGAAAGGAAACCACATGTACGTACATATAATATTCATAAACAAAAAAATATAATTTTGTACTTACTGAAAATAAAATATATATTTATAAGATTTTGCCTGACTCCTGGCTAATCGTAAGATAATAAAAATAAATCAATAGTATTTAAGCACGATTGTGATCGCATTAAAATCTATTTGTGACAATAAATGGTACCTTATTAGGGCAATAGGGCAGTAAATGCCAACGCCCGCCATTGTTCCGGTCAGTGAAAGTGCCGGTCTCACCACGCGCCTCTTTTGTTAAATCCACTTGTATACCTCCAAGTACTCAACTGCTCACAAGTGGATGTAGCCATTAAGGGAAAATAGCCGATTTTATAAAATATAAAACCCTTACATGGTAGAATTTATCGGATTTGCTAAATTACTAATATAGCTGGAAATAAATCGATTAATAGTGCTCTATTATATATTACTAAAGTAGTTATTACACTAACAACTTTCCAATTTTGCCGAAACCGGCTTCCGCTATTGTCTCTGGAGAAAGCAATTCATATTAAGTCACGTCACAATCAATTAACTGTCCAGTTGCAGATTTCACTGCTTAACTTGAGTAAAGGATCCGCTGGGATGCTCCTAACTATATGACACTGTTCCCAGAGCGGGAGTTGCTCCTTTGATCTCTATGTAAGTAGAGCATCATAACTATTTATTAGCTCTGTGTTGATTTACCGTATTGGTTCCTTTTGAAAAAAAAATCAACTAAAATTAAATAAAATAATGAAAATGGACATGAGCTGTGGATGCGATGGACAAACGCGAGTCGTCAATTAAAAATGTATTGTTTTGAACTAATATATTATTATTTTTAAATAAAATACAATATTAACCAATCTACATGCAATATTTATTGTAGTGTCAGTAGTAGTGTAGTAGTAGAGTAGGTTTATATTCCATAGTATTTTTTAAAGATACTAAAATTGTAGATTCCTATTGACTTGCCCTCGCTTCGCCTTGCTGGGGTGGGTCTCGGGCCTCGGGGTGTCTAACAGTATCGGATAAAGTAGCTCAACACTATTTTTGTTCACTTTTAATTAAAGTTAATATGATTTATGACAGTTATAAACACATTTTTACCGGAATAAAAAATAGCATCCATTAGATATGCTTAATAATTCGGCGGTAACGTAGCTTTCTATTAATAAGATTTTTTTAGAATCAAATCAATACATTCAGGGATCACGCCCTACCGTATTACAAACTTTATCACTTTATAATATTAGTGTACATATTATACTTAAACAAAAATAAGTTTTTCTTTTTGTAGAAATTATTTTAAAATTTAGATAAGAGCGAAGTGGAAAATTAGAAGCTATTAACAAAAATGTATCCCCACATTTCCCAGTAAAAAAAAAACGAGTAGCTGTCCTTCAAATCTGTTTGATTTTGGATTTAATAAAATCATTTAAAATAATTAAAGTTGAATATTCAAAAACACTTATCATTTAGATAAACTTTAAAAGATTTATTATAATTCATTTATATAATACTAAAAATAAGTGTTGTTTTTTAATAACTCCGTTAGTGTTCAATGTTTACAGCTTTTGTTGTAGAAATAAAACAAAATGTCTGAGAGTTCGATATTATTTTGTTGTTCTTTTAATTTGCTTCTATAAATCTTTTAGACTCAATTTTTGCCTTTAGCACAAAGTTCATGAAAACAATTAACGATTTTGCAAGAATATTTATACACTTGATAACCGCTTGCAGTTAATTGCTAGTGCCAGTTGGGTTCAAGAGTTGCGACACCGGACGAGTCGGCCTCCGCTCCGCCGCAGCCTCACTGGACCATGACCGCTTTGAAATGTGGATTGTACACATAATGTATTATATACATTATAATATGTAAGAGTTTCGATTTAAAAAATCAAAAAATAACTCGTACAAAAAATCCAAACACATAAAAAGAAACTTATTAATTTGTCGTACAAAATTATAATTATTATGTACTTTATTGTATAACAATAATAATTTTTGTAAAAGATAAATACGAAAATTAATTTTCTTTGAAACAAAATACATAATATTAGGTATATTTAACATTTTCTAGAATGTAAAAAGGAAATTCTTAGTTTATACGATGACATTTATAAACATGTATTATTAGTAACTTAGCGAAATCTGTACATGAAATATTTTTTAAAAACAATGACTGTAACGTATTATGTACAAAATACCTAAATACCCCGAAACAATAGTTTTAATTTTTTTGTCTGTTGGACCGTATGTCTGTTTGAGTGTTCAAGTTTCACGCAAAAAGTACTGGTCATACCTACTGGACGAAGTATTTTATGTACTAATAACTTATTACTCGGGTCAACGTTTAGGGTAATTTTGACTACAGGAAAATCTTTCATCCCCACGGAAAAACACAATAACTGGTTCTATGGAGTCGTACTTAGAAATTTATTTGGCTAAGGCTGGTTAAACCGTATTAACTGTAAGTCTTAAAATAAGGCCTACAGAAAAATCTGCAATAGCATAAGTCACCTAAGGTATAGACGCAATAATTTTAAATAAAAATTTGGATCTTTCGCGGATTTATTTTGACAACGAAAAGATAGTTTTATTTAAAATTTTATAAAAGGAGGAATATCTTTTAAATTGTTATTTATTATTGGTGCTAGTAACACTATACAAAAGCCTTATTTTGTTCTCACTTATTATATTACAGTAAAAGTGAAAGTTCAACGCGTTGATTGGTTAATTTGGAAATGATCCCACAACGCGACCAATCAGAGGGACGACCTTTCTTACCTCGTAGTGTAGAGAGCGCACTGCCTCACGGCGAAGTGACATGTCAACTTGTAAATACCGGAAGTAAATGTGAGAGAAGTGATTGAAAAAGTTTTACCAATGTTTTGAATGTCAATCAAAAGTTAAAAAAATCAATGAATTACATTTTAAGATGATATCTACATGCTTATTTATATTACTTCTAGTCGCTAAAGGTACATATTTACAAACCAATATAATAACTTATGATTTAAAAACTTTCTCTCCATATAAAGTTTTGAATACTTTTAAAATTTAAATTCCAGATTGTTCTAGTCAAGATGACACAGGACCCTACAGGGGAAAATATATAGGAAAGTTAAATTCTTATCACCATCAGGTAAATTTTTGAAACTTTCACTGTTCCATATCTTTTGTTTGACCATGGCATATTATTATGAGTCACTTAAAAACTAGTGATTGCAGCAATGTGACTTTTAATAAATTAGCAAACTTATATTCCATACCTACTATTAAGATTTTCTCCATATAAAATTAATTAAGTATTAAAAACACATATTTATCTGTTTGAAATAGTTTTTATTTATTATTTTCATTAGTTATTATATAAATATAAAATTGAAACAAATTTCAACAATCTCATTTTCAGGTGTCAGGTGAAGTGTATGCAATAGATGATTGGACAATTGTAATAGTTGATTTCAACTATGATGGTACAGGGGATGACACATTCTTCTGGGCTGGAGACTCTGGTCGTCCCGGACCTTTGGGCTTCATTGTTCCAGATCAGAACGGCAAGTAAGTATATATCATTTATTATTCAAAATGCCTGGAACTGATATTTAAAAAAAAATAAATAAGTTTCAGTTTATTTTCTGTTCATTATACTGTTTACTACATATTCATAGATACCTACTGTAGTATAAATTAAATAAAAAAAAAAAAGTAAACAGATACATGTACAATTAATAATATTGTAGAATACTAATAATTCCCTGTACAATTGTACATTAACAGGACTTTTTACACTGCCAATACCATAATTAATAATTATATATTAATGAGTACTAAGAAATTCATTGTGTAATTTCATGATATGAATTAGTTAACTATTAGTAAATAGTATAAAAAAGTTTTTTAAAGACCAAAAGTTTTGAACATTGTTTGCCTCATTAGTCATTATTAAGTACTTTATTACAATCTTGGATATGTACCTATGTAATAGGTACATAGTAATGATCAATTTATATTGCTGTTAATAATATTATATGGTAATACTACATACAATGCATGTTCATTTGACCCTTTACTTAAATAGGTATTGCTAATGGATGCCAATTTGACGTGTTTGGTACTTGGTAATCATTTTAAAATTACAACTAAAATTTTGCTTAAAAGTTTCAAAATAACATGTTCTTTCGTTAAAATTCCAATTCTTTACATTCTATGGTAAAAATAGTAGTAAACATGTACATAAACAGAAAGCTTATATTCTATTATATACTATTAGCTTTATATCTTGAAAATAATTCAGTCAAACGCAAGGGTTCTCAAAAGGTATCAATTTTAATAGATAATGGTTTCCGTGTAATTTCCTGACTGTTATATAAAAGTATGTATGACAGTCGGGAGTGCTCCCCTCCCCGCGTCTCCCCCGCACGCTTGCTCTATCTAGACGCCTTTGTAGACTGTATGGGTTAGGAGACTTGCATACATCCTGTATGGGGAATACCTACGGTTACCGCGGCGTCGCCATTTCACGATGTGATTTTATAAATCGAGCTAATAAGTTGAAAGAAAGAGAATATTTTTTTTTGACATATCACTTTATTTTCGAGAAATTGAGGTTTGATGTTATGACTTTTAATACCTAGCCTGATAATTATACTTTATGGATAATATAAGATAGTCAAAGTAATATAATTTTCTTGTTGAAAAACAATGCCACATATAGAATATGTAATTTAGAAGTAAAAACTAAAAAATAATTTGAAGTCAGATACCAAAACAATTGTATTTTTTGCTCGATTTATAAAAATAACATGGTAAAATGTTGGCACGAGGGTACCGCAGCGGTGGTGGTAGGGAGTCGCGTGACGTGCAATGTGTGCAGGACCAACATCCTGGAGCGCTACAACAACGAGGAGGTGCGGCTGCGGCTGCCGGAGGGCAAGCGCGTGTCGCGCGTCACGTGGCTGGCCGTGTACGACCTGGCGTCGCAGAACGCGTTCGGCGACGTGTACGTGCCCGAGCAGTTCGAGGCGCCGGCGCCGCGCGCGCTCACGCCGCTCGTGCCCGCGCCCGCCGCCGCCGCGCGCGTCGCCAGCAAGCCCGTGCTCTTCCTCGACGCCAACACCTTCATGTGAGCTTATGTTCAGTCAATAGCTTCAATTAAAAGGCATTATTTATTATAAATCCAATTATTGAACGTGTTTGGCGAAATTATAAACTAAATGTTGAATGATCCAAGAAGTTCAAGACGAATTTTGATGTAAATTAAAACTGCAAAAAATTGATAACTTATGACATTCGTATAATTTAAATGATTTTCCTAGTTAGGGATCAAACTGGATATTTGTGAAAAAAATTTATATTACGATATTATAACGCTTGCCGAATATGTCGCAAAAATAGATAATCCACTGAAAATCCATTAATACTTTTTTTGATGAACTAGTATATTATTTAAATTTACAGACTTTTAATTTTGATTTTGGTTAATGGATTACCAGTAATTGTAAGTATATGTATATAAATTCAAGTGGTTGTTACCGGCAGAATCCCGGAGTTCCACTTCGACGGCAGCGGACCCGACGAGGAGGTGTACTTCTGGACCGGCGTGGGCCCGCAACCCTCCTCGCGCGGCTTCAAGATACCCGACGAGGACGGATAGTGCGTTACACTTGCATATACTTTACACTTGACATATATTATAAAATTGTTATTTAACATTTACAAATACAGAGTTTGATTTTACGTATGTTCCACTGAAGCACGTAAATTACTCTTCCGATTTTGACGAATGAGGGTATTCGTTATTATCGTTCAGATAACATAGTGAAATATATGAATTTATGACCGCAATCAGCCTGGAGCCGGTGCGCGCGTACTCGGGCGCGGACGTGCGGCTGTCGCTGCCGGGCGCGCGCAGCGTGTTCGAGGTGGACTGGGTGGCGCTGTGGGACGCGCGCGCGCGCCGCGCGCTGGCCGCCGCGCTCGTGCCTGACGCGCTCAACGTGCCGCCCGCGCGCGCGCGCCGCCACGCGCACCGCGCCGCGCTGCCGCGCTGCCGGCAGCTGCACCGCGACCTGCAGGTGGCCTGGGAGCTGTTCGGCAGCCAGCTCACCGTGCAGCTGGCGGGCGCCGTGGCCGAGCACGAGTACATGGCCTTCGGCGTGTCAGGCTCGGCGACGCGCTCCGCCATGCTGGGCGCGGACGTGGCGGTGGCGCGCTGGGACGCGCGCTCGCGCCGCGGGCTGGCGGGCGACTACAACGTGTCGGCGACGGCGCCGTGCGTGCAGGTGCTGGGCCGCTGGGCCGGCGTGTGCCGCGACGACGCGCTCGGCGGCCTCGACTCCAACCAGGTGTTCAGCGCCTCGCGCGAGGACGGCCTCACCGTCGTCAGCTACCGCCGCTCGCTGCAGCCGGGTACGCCAGCCATCTGTGCACGAGATATTATACGTGTTGTACGCAAATGCACTCCCTATACCTTTTCATTGTCAAAATCCAATGGGACGATAGTTTTTTACGAGAGTTAAAATGCTTAATCGAATCGTGCTCTCCGTAGGACGAACTGACTTTTCAACTCCTGGCTGCTATTTAACAAACATTAAGAAAAAAATTAAATGTGGCACTCGGAGACTGCCGCGGTAAAGCTATTGCATAGCATTTTTTATCAACTTATGCAATTATAATTATTTATTTATTTTATTAGTATTTCACGCCATCTAGTTCCATGATAAGCTACGAGGCCTGTGTTATGGATACCAGATAGTTGATACACTACACATATATAACTTTAAATACATACATATTATAAATATAAACACCCATGACTGGAGTACGAACATTCGACAACACACAAATGAATGCCCCCAGCGGGACTCGAACCCGCGACCGCTGGCACAGAAAATAGGGTCACTACAAACTGAGCCAAGCGTGTCGTCAAACGTGACTTAAAACATAAATATCAAACTACTATTTTGTTTTGTTGCGCCATCTAGTGACCATATTCTTATAGCTGTGAATAAAAGTAGCGTAAGACAGCTAGTTCGTAGTTTTTATATGATGGCACTAGCTCATAAAAAAAATAAACTTTCTCACAAACAGCTGATTACGGTAGTTTTCCAATACAACCAATGCAACCTAAAAGCGGGTTGCTGAACTAAAGAGATAAGCGTGATATTTCAAAAAGTCATTAAAAGTTCTGGTATTTATCGATAGATGGAAAAACTAAAAAGTATCACCGCTGCGCCGGTCGGAGTGGGGGGTGTCAGGTTTTTTTCGTTACGGAATTTCTGGATTCGGTCCCCACGCTCAAGGCCCGCGATAGAAGCTATGCAATAGCTTAAAAACCGTATGTGTATACTTATGTACGCACGTAAGAAGTTATACTTCTTTGGCGTAACAGAACAAAAATAGCTAAATATTTCATCCCGTATGTCACAACTCTCAGTTTGTAAAAGGAATGCAGCTAACTTCATCATGCCGCTTTTAAGCTGTGTAATGTTTTCCAAACGTACCCAAAGAACTTTAAGAACTCAGAACTAAACTTGACCCGACCGGGACTCGAACCCAGGATTTCCGGTCCTAGTTCTGTTTCCTATGACTATACGTAAGTGTGTTCGGGCGCAGCGGAGGACATGGACCGCGAGTGGCCCACGGAGCGCGCCGCGTTCGTGGTGTGGGCCGTGGGCGCGCTGGACCACGCCGGCGAGCCCGCCTACCACCGCCTGCGCCCCGCCGCCGACGTGCAGCTCGTGCTGGCCGGCGCCGCCGCCGACCACGGCGACGACTGCTTCGACTTCGTCATGTGAGTACTGCCACAGCCCACGATAGATGGCGTCATATGTATGGATTTGTTATTGAAATTTCTATGAAATTGACAAAGTGAAATTAAAAGATGATACTATGTGTAGGAAATGAAATAATGCGCTCGTACATCGGATTTGTGTCATTTTACTGGTTAGTGAAAAAATCAGTAATCAGATATAGAAGGTACGCAGTGCATATCCACAAACCCGTCCCCCCGCAGAGAGGAGCGGCCGCAGCCGGCGGCGTGGGAGCGCGCCGAGCTGTTCGACCCCGCGCTGCGCGTGTTCCGCATGACGCTGGGGCCGGCGGGCGGCGCGCGCGGGCTGGCGGCGCGCGGCGCGGGCGCGGCGCCGCAGCTGGCGTGGTACGTGAACGGGCAGCTGGCGCCTGATCTGCAGCTGCGACGTGGCCTCGCCTACACGTTCCTGGTGAGCGGCGGCGCCGACCCGCACTCGGCCACGCTGTACCACCCGCTGGTGCTGGGCGCGGCGCCGCACGGCGGGCTGGAGCGCCTGCGCGACGCGGAGCAGCGCGCGGCGGCGGCGCGGCTGCTGGCGGGCGCGCGGCTGGGCCGGCGCGGGCGCGCCCTGCCGGCGGCGGCGGGCGCGCTGTGCCTGGGCGCGCCGCCGCCCGCCGCGGACCCGCGCCGCGCGCCGCCCGACAGCTTCCGCGCGTACAACCGGTCGCTGGCGTGGCGCTGCGAGCCCGGCGCGCCGGCGCGCCTCACCGTCACGCCCAACTCCTCGTGGCCGGACCGCGTCTACTACAACTCCTTCACGCACGCAGGTAACGCACGCAAGCCCGATACTGGCTCATTATCTTTGCTCATGCAATCGGTGCGAATCATTCGTGGAAACCGGCAGCGGCGATTAGCCGCCATTTTATTTTTTTCAAAATAGCGGTGCATATGAATTAATAATAAAACAATGGTCGTAATAATAAGTTATATAGATTTTTTTCAGTGAAAATTAACAGTATACAGAAAAAGGTTATGGCATTATTTTTTATGAACGATCTTCCCATCGCACCGTACATGAAAAAGAAATATTCATTCCAAAATAATTTATTTACTATCAATAAATATTTCTTAATAGTTAACGAATATTTATTGAATGTTAGGAAATATTTGTTCTTATTTAATAAATAATAAATGAATAAACTGTTTCAATAAAAAATGAATTTATTAATAGTAAATAAATTCTTCTATCAGTGCATAATTAAACCGCAATCAATATATTATATATGATTTAGCCATATTTTAGTGGAGAAACATTTTTAACTTAAACGCGGATTACCAAAGTTAAATATTTGTATGGAATACGCTATCTGTACTAGTATAGTATTATATGATTTGTGATATCTATACATATGTCAAATTCAACTTATTAAGATGCCTTACAAAATTGTTGTGTCGTGTCCGCCGCCGCAGACATGGGCGGGCGCATCTTCGTGGTGGACCGCCACCGCCGCAACATCGCGCGCGCCGCCGCCGCGCGCCCGCCCGCCCCCGCCTCCGCCGCCGCCGCGCTCGCCGCCCTGCTGCTCGCCGCACTCTACAGGATATGATAAGTAACACGGAGCATATACATACTATTAGTTGATTTGTACGATTCGGTGCCGCACAGACCACGTGTGTGATACGAGATTTATATAATGCGACATAATGTTAATGTAATTTGACATCATTGATGATCTGTAAATATTTTCATAATAAATGTATACACCTATTATTATATGTATTTATTGTATTTTATTTAAAGATTCATAATAATTTATAGTTAATCATCTTTTTTAATCTTATATAAAAAATAGATCGCTCGCGTCGCTTGATTCTATTGAATGTGTGGCCTTTTAGAATTAATGAAATATAATGTAATTTTATAGAACCGTTTATTAGTGGAGTAAGAATAAATAAACATATATAACATATTACCGTGTCGCACAACATAAAATATTGTGTTCATACTTTATACTCATGTAGGATCTCGTATGTCTTGTGCATGTGTGTAAATAAAAGACTATTCACGATTAATGCTCGTTTTATTCAATTTGACTAGAATACACATTTCCGATAGCATAATATTATACGAGTAATAACATACACCGCTACGTATAACGCGGGGGAGTGTGCGGGGGTGCCTAGGCGCGGTGCAGGTCGAGGAAGTCCCGCAGCGTGGCGGGCAGCGCGCCCGGCGCCAGCGCGGCGGCGCCCGGCGCCTGCAGCAGCGCGCGCGCCGCCAGGCACGCCAGCGACACGTGCCGCAGCGGGCACACGCGCGACCCGCGGTTCAGCGCCACCAGCTCGGCCGCCGAGTCGCCGAACTTGTTGGGCTGGTCGAGGTGCGCGCCGCCCGCCAGCAGCGTCTCCACCAGCTCCGTCGAGAAGTTGTACGGGATGGCGGCCACGTGCAGCGGCGTGGAGCGCGCCTCGTTGCGCACGCGCGCCGACGCGCCGCAGCGCAGCAGCAGCGCCGCCACCGGCACGCTCGGGAACACCGCCGGGCCCGCCGCCTCGTCGCCGAAGAACGTGGAGCGCACCACGTTCAGCCGCGACACGCTCAGGTGCAGCAGCGTGTCGCCAGTGTGCGCGCTGCGCACGTCGGCGGCTACCAGGCGGCGCACACGCGCCTCCAGCGCCGCCAGCTGCGCGCCGCGCGCCGTGCTCAGCAGCAGGTGCAGCAGGTGCGCCACGCAGCGCAGCGCGCGGTCGAAGCTGTCGGCCTGCCGGCGGTGCACGGGCCGCGCCCGCAGCGCGCGCCGCGCCGCCGGCAGCCGCGCCGCCAGCAGCGCCAGCGCGCGGGCCGCGTCGCCGTGCCGCGGCAGGCCGCGCCCGCCCGCGCCCTCCAGCCGCCCAGCGCGCGCGTCCAGCAGCAGCCGCGTGAGCGCGCCCGCCGTGTGGCACGTGTCGGCGTGCAGCAGCGACTCGCGGCGCAGGCGGATGCGCAGCGCGCACGTCCACAGCTCGATGCAGCGCTGGTAGCGGAAAGCGTCCGCGTACGCCGCGCCGCGGTACATGAGCCGGAACACGGTGTCCCTGTGCGCCACGCCCAGCACGCGCGCCGCCACCAGCAGCGCCTGCGTGCGCAGCGCGTCCATGTCCGCGGCCAGCGCCTCCAGCTCGTCGACCGTGCGCCACTCGCGCGCGCCGCCCAGCGCCGCGCGCGCCAGCCGCGCCACTGCCGCCTCGCCGCGCAGGCTGGCGCGGTCCTCCTCGTTCTCCCAGAAGGCGAGCTCCGCGGCCTCCTCGTCGTCGAGCGGCTCCTCGTCGTCGTCGCCCTCCTCGTAGCCCTTCTCGAGGTAGCCGCCGCGGTGCGCGTGGCGCAGCGCGGTGGCGCGCCGCCAGGAGGCCAGCGCGGCGGCCACGTCGTTGAACTCGTCCAGCTGCGTGGCGCCCAGCAGCTCGTAGGCGTCGGCCACGCGCGCGGGCGGGTAGCGCACGCGCGCCAGCAGCAGCGCCACCAGCTGCGCGGCGCCCTTGAGGCAGGCGGTGCGCAGCGCGTCGTCGCCGGCGCGCGAGCGCAGGTGCGGGGAGGCGCCGCGCTCCAGCAGCAGGCGCGCGGTCTCCAGGCGGTGCTCCTGCACGGCGTAGTGCAGCGCCGTCTTGAGCTGCATGTCCTGCGCGTCGACGCGCGCGCCGCGCTGCAGCAGGTAGGCGCAGAGCGGCGCGGACTGCACGGAGTTGATGAGGCAGGTGCCGCCGTTGTGGTTGGCGCGGTGCAGGTCGGCGCCGCGCTCGACCAGGAAGCGCACCACGTCGAGGTGCGTCATAAAGCAGGCGGAGCGCACGGGCGTGGAGCCGCTGTCGGAGCCGGCGTCCAGGTCGGCGCCGGCGTCGGCCAGCGCGCGCAGCACGGACAGGCGGCCAGCCACGGCGGCGCACCACAGCGGCGTGACGCGGTGCGCGGAGCGGTCGTGCGGCACCTCGTACACGCCGCGCTGCTCGAGGCGCGCGGCGCACACGTGCACGAGGTACTCCACCAGCTCGGCGTTGCCGCGCCGGCACGCCACGAACAGCGGCGCGCAGCCGTCGCGCGTGCGGCTGCACACCGCGCGCCGCTCCTCCGGACGCATCCTGCGACACGGTGTTGTACATGTCAAAATCGACTTGTTTGACAAGATACTGTCATAGTTCAACTATTTTGTACAAAAATAAGTTGCATTTGTAGAATATTTTGTAGTTCTATAAAATAAATATATTTTGTTTTGATTAATTTTATTACTCTTATATCCTTTACTTCTTAGCCTCAGGAGAGGACACTAAGTGCATCTTAGCCTCAGGAGAGGACACTAAATGCAACAACAAGTTGTCAACTCAGCTGGTTATTTTCTTTTATTATTTTTCAATACCTTTATATTGTGTGCATCTTTTAAGTGCTTACAATTATTTTACTCAAAGATTTTTAAAATACAAGTACTAGGCGATCTTTAAAACTTGCCTTATTAATGTTTACAATTTGTCCATAACTTATTATTAAAAAATATATATATCATATTCTTCTTCAATACTTAACACTTAACTCTTATACATTCCCATATTTAATTGAAGGAAACAAATACAATGACATATATGTGTGTTAACTAGATATACATATGAGTAATGAATAGTTATTTCAATTACCTCAACGCTGTATAAAGTTATATTTCTATTTCATATTTTTTTTATTACCAGTATTAACATTGCTAATATATATATAAAGAAAACCACTTCATAAGCAAGTGCTTTTTAAGTTTATTTTTATTACATAAATACTTTTTAATTGATTTTAAATTGACTTTATTTTTGTTTTTTAACTTTGACCTTGAATAAAATAATAGATAAGTATATTATGTAATTATAATTTTTCCTAAAAGAGTTTATTTATTAGTTTGTTGTTATTTTGATTGAAATAGAGACTTTAAATGTTATTTCTTTTATTATTACAGTACAGGTGAGATAATATTTTATTGTAAGTGTAATTTTAAAATGTTATTTGTATTTGAATTCTAGTAGTGAAATATTTTTTTATTATTACAGAAACACAGTTAAGTTTTTGTTTTTCGAATAAGAGAAATAATATTATTATATATATTTCATACAAGTGTCATGAGACAAATATTATTTTAATTAAAGATAAGTAATGCATGTACCTATGTTCACTTAATAATAAGCAATTACATTAAGAGTATAACATACGCACAAAAACAAATTTATGCGCAATTGTTTTCATACTCGTATATTTGATTTGGTATTGATCATTTCTATGATCTAGTTAGACTGAGATAGGTATGGGTGCAGTCAGGGCGTGTACCTCTCCAGCTCCGCGCGGAGGCGAGCAGACAGGCGCGCGCCGGGGGCGCTGTGCTTGCACTCTTGCATTAAATCGTTAAATACTGCATCGTAGTGTTTCGAATCTACGAATTCTTTGTCACTGTTGCTGCCACTGCCGCTTTCCTCCCACATCTTTAAGATGCCTTCAGTCAGTTATTATTAACAAGACTGCGCTTACGGACGAAGTGTAATTATTTCAATAAACTATTAACGGAACAAACAAAGAACAGCCACTTCGTACGAAATCTACTTCACAATCACCTCTATAATCTATTGATCTAATTTCTAACCATTGACATTCGAATTTTGACAGTTAAGTATCGATAGACAATGGTGTTTTTATGTCAATGTCAATTTTGTTGCCAGCTTATAAAGTGCTTTACAGTATACTGAGAAAAAGGCCAAATTCTTCCCCTGTTCCCCAGTCATCAAATTGAAATGTGTCTGGAATTATGATTTAACATTGCCAAAAAATTTAACAGCAATTTTGGTCCTTATCAACTTTTTCGTAGGATCGATATTTTTTTATTTATACCTGAGAAAAAGAGGAGGTAAAATTTTATCATCCTATTATCACTATATACTATTTTTATAATATACACAATAATTAATTACTATAACGACATTATATATCTATATATAATGTCGAACTGCCAGGGTTGAATTTCGTACTATAATTATAGTTATTATACTATAATTTCATTATTTTACATGACTAATTTTGCCCTAGATTGCTTAGAATTTCGCCATGCTAATGCCGATTGTGAGAGAATATTCAGTAAAGTGAGCCTTACTAAGAAACAAAGTTACAAACTGGCAACACAATCCATAGACATTTTATCTTGAGAAATGAGAATGCGTTAAAACGCTATCATATAGTATATTGCTATTTGCTACATTATATATGAATTATGAACGCTATCAGACTGTACACAAAAGTGGATTAATTATTATTCTTAGTGAGGATATGTTAATAAATTTAAATTCTAAGATTTCTAAGGTGAAACTAATATTGAAGAACTGATAAACTTTTAATGACTATGTTAAATTCAAAATAAGAAAGTACTTTCTTTTTTTACAAATACTATCTTATTAAATTTTTTTGTACTATAGTTTCCAACGTACCTAAATCCAACCCTGGTCGAGCCGCTCTTACATTTTGACGTCATATACTGCCTCTTTACTTTAATGTTCCACTCATAGTTGATAAGTCCCACTCAACACATGTGATAAACATGGTGATCAGCTAACCTAACTATTTGAAGAATGCTTTGACGTATTGTTACTTGTACATATTCCTCTCATAAGTTTATAACTTACAAATATTATCGTTGACTTTATTTGATTTTGATGTACTAAGTTTGTACCTTGATTACTATGGATGCTGAAGAGAACCCGAGGTCTGAGGAAGAATGTGACGATGAGAATGATACGTCGGAGTATACTGATGAAGCAGCAATAGCCAGAATTAAAAAAATAAATACTCGTATACAAAAACTTGACATCTCAGCAGGAAAAAATGAAAAATATCATTATAAGGCACAAAACCTTTTGCAAGAATTGATAATGGTTCTCTCAGAGTATGATACAAAATTTCTTACCGATTATCTGGATGTCCTTAAAAAGAATAATATGTCAACTATTAGTAGGGTTACCGGTGATGTAAGTACAGAACAGACTGACCATCCCAAACTTGTTATAACCTTCTAAATATATATTTAGGTCTTAACTAATTTAGAGCTTGAGACAATTCATATATATTTCATAATAAAAGTTAAATATAGTATTTATTTTACCCTTTAGGCTACAATTTTTCCCATAAGAATATTTAAATAATGAATATTACTCTTTAAAAATAAATGAGAAATGTTCAATGCTGTTCCATTAGATAATATCAACTATTGAGATGATAATAAGTAAAGAGAAGGAGGAGGGTCGAACACTGCAGGAGCCAGTGATGGTGGTGTTAGTGTCATGGCTGTGTGCCTCTATGCTGTGGGACGCACCTCGTGTTCCTTCTGCACGGCCAGCATTGCATGCTTTATTGCCTCTTCTAACGGAAAACGAGGTAATGTTGATAAAACCAGAAGTTCTCAATCATTTCTTACTATTTTAGCGCTTTCCACATTGGTATATGGTCTAAGCAGGAATTTGGGCTTTATTATAAGTACCTGGGCGACCGAGCTTTGCTCGGAGTTTTTGGCCAAAAAAATAACATAAAAAAAAAACAAAATTAAAAACTTTGTGCCCGACCGGGATACGAACTCAGATTCCTGTGGTTGTCAAACTTGCGCATTGGCCGCTTGACCATGATGCTTATATCTGAATGTGCGAAATTATCGAACATAATAATAATATAAGCTAATATAGCGTGGAATTATTAATTAATTTATTGAAATAATGCAAAAGAAATCATAATAATAATAAAGCTCTACTTATTTATTCATTTATTTATTATAAAGGCTTACTAACTAAATTTACATAAAAACATTTATTTAACATTATAATTTTACCTATCTGTATATAAATTTAATTTAAAAGTATGCACAGCTTTTTATAAAAGTATTCCATTAAAATTTTATTTGGTTAAGAGTATATAAGGATCCATTTTAGTTGTACAATAAAAAAAAATGTCTTTATCACATTGCTGAAATATAAAATTATATAATTTTAATGACTATTTATTAACTTATAATTTTTTTACTAATAATTTTGTAATCTGGAATTAAAATTATTTTTAAAAATCTTCATATTATTTGAAATGATATTGTATATATATAAATTATCATTAACAAAATAAATAAATAAAAAAATCACAATAAATTAAAATAATTCAATTGAGTAAATACTAAACATTTCACAATAATAAATATAAATAAAATTTCTTTCCATAGATTAATTCTGACAATAGTTATAAATTAGGTATTTCATTTTCATAATTAAATGTATTTATTTAGTAAATGTATTTTTCATGTATAGACACCTCTCGGTTAAAAGCCTCCTCCAAAGTAGTCCTGCATAGAGCTCTCCGTTGGAGATTATGCTTGTATGATTGCAAAGGGTTTCTCTCTCTCAAATTTTGTTTTTCAATATATAATTGTTTCTGATATGCCTATAAATTTTATAATTTTATCTTTGTGTTCTTTTGATTTGTTGTAGGAAATGCTGCTTTTAATTCTAGAAGTTTTTCTGGTAAAGATATGTATACCTTTGTTCATTGTATGTCTGTTTTTCTTTAGAGGGTTACGGTCGAACTCCCCCACAGTGACCGGCCGTACTGGTGGATAAAGATGAGGAGGTTCCTACGGTGTTTAATATACTATATCTTGCTGTGTTGTTTTTTGTTGTTCCTGGTTATCATTTGTGTGGTTTGAAAGTGAATTTTGGGTTTTGTAATATAAAGTCTTTAATATTACCAGGTATGGTTGTCTTTGTATGTTGTTTATTTGTTAGTTTTTGTTTATAATTGAGTAAGGCGTTTCTGGAGATACAGGCAGACTTCTTTTTTATTTCCGTTTAGTTTTGAGACTATTTTTTTCCTCTAGTTCATGATAGGATTTTTCACCTTCTTCTACTCTGAACATAACCAAGTTCTTGCGCCTAATATGTCTTTCTAAATTATTTATTGAGGTACTTTGTTCCTGGATTTTTTTCTCAAGAACTTCAATTTTTATTTCTAACTGTTTATATTTTCATTTAAGTATATTATTGTTGATTGTATTTTTAATGTCTTCTTTCATTTCCAACATTTCTAACATTTCTGTTTTCTGCTGTCTTATTTCTTGTTGCATGTTTATTAGCAACTTTTTTATGTTCTCCATCTTAAGTGTGAAGTTGGAAGTAGAAAAGCTGATTGAAAAAGAGCACCAATCATACCTAGTTGAATTGCAATTTTATACCGAGTACCTATTAGTTTTTGAGGTTATAAACTTATGTTTTAATATTTGACGCTTTCACTTCACAAATTATTTTGTTTTATTGTCATCACACACAGAAAAGATGGTTTGCACTGATAGTATCTATATGTTATGTTTGTCACTTTGTATTTGTTTGGTAGGTGAATTTTTAAAAGCTGATTTGTTCTTCAACACATCAAGACTTGGTGATGTTTACATATTGCCCATAGGTTTTATTTAAAAATTTACTAAGATTAGATTTAATTTTTCTTTAGATTATTTTCACTTAAATATATTTAAACTTGATGTAAATACGGACACGATGTTGACAGTTGCACAGTGGCGCCGCTCACTCACCAGAAGTGAAAATGCAAAAATTGTGAAAATGCAAAAGAAAATCGCATGAAAATTCGAAAATTCGCGTTTTTCCAGATATAAGACTAATCTAGATCGATTTATCGCCCCCGAAACCCCTTGCATGCTAAATTTCATGAAAATCGTTGGAGCCGTTTCCGAGATTCAGATTATATATTGATATATATATATATATACAAGAATAGCTCGTTTAAATATATAAGATAGTACTAGTTGGTGGATCAACACAATCTAATATCTTTATGTGAAAACAAAACCCCAAGTTAAGACTGACTAATATAGTGTTGTGTTGTCTGTGTTAATGGTAGGCTAATAATGATTGCCCATATGTTGTAAGGCTCATTTTCGCTGGTCGTTAGGACCCGATTGCGGGATGCGAGATTTTATGTTACATATGCTTTAGGACTCATTGACATGCAGGAACCGTTTTCATCAGTCGACGAGGCCCACATGCGGGGTGCAGGATTAATGCAGCCCTGTGTGGTATACAAAGGGCTGCCTCTTGCAGAGAATGCCCACATGCTGTACATTGACCAAGATATTGAAGAAGCACTTACATAGTCTTTATATTGTATTTGCAGAAACATGCAGTCTAATGATGAAGTTAATGACCAATGAAAATGAGTTAACTTTAATGTACTGAGTTTTCCTGTAAATAAATTCTCATATTTAATTCTTCGATCCTGCACTAGATTTCTTAAAAGCCGTGTTATCTTCCCACCGGAGTATGAGAGTGATAGTAATATGCTATATGCACGCGCAGGCGCAGCGCGTCGCCGACGCGTGGGAGCGGCTCACGCAGCTCGCCGCCGATGCGCGGGGGCGGCTCGCGCTGCTGGAGCTGCGAGACGCGGTGGCGGGACCGCTAGGCGCGCGGCTACTGTGGGCGGCGGCGCGCACGGCCGCCGGCGACGACATGTTGCGGCTGCGCGTTCTCGGGCGCGCGCTGCACGCGGGGGAAGCCGCCGTCGTCGCCGACGAGCTCGGGGACCTCGAGCTGGCCACGCTCACCGTGTCGCACACCGTGGCCGAAATGCCGACGATCGATATTCAAAAGGTTACCGACTGGCCAAATATTTATATGTTTACTAGCATTGCCCGCGACTCCGCCCGCGTTCAGATGATCAAAAACCGAACTCTTAGGTTTTACATAATATTAGTATACTCTTACTTTGGTGTTTTTGTATTTTTTCTCAGAAATGAGATATTTTCCCACCGTAAATAGTACCCTATATGTTGACCCGGATAACCAGCTATCACCATACCAAATTTCATCAAAATCCCTCCAGTGGTTTTTGTGTGATGTGGTAACAGACAGACAGACAAAAACTATAGATTCTGCCTCTGTATTGATAATAATTTCAATAAGATTTCCCAAAAAATATCTAATGTACAGATTTGCTTAGTTACAATTTTATTATATTATGTAAAGATATTGTTGTCTTAATAATTTTCATACCATTATTGAAATGTTAAGATTGAGCGATGAGCACTTTACAAAAACAGATATTTAAATACTTGAGTTTTCTTTTTTATTATTTTGCAAACACAACCATTTGTGAATATTTTAGCTAACTAAAAAGGTGATATTGATAGTTTAAAGGTAGTTAATTATAAATTCTATCTGTTTTCATTCATTTGAATCTACATGTAAATGAAGTCCCTTTCCTTCTATCAAATTAAAATGTACAGTGACTTTGACATTTTGTGTTTAATCTGTGGAGAGTGGAACTACTGTTCCATGATATGGATTACATGTTTTATTTGTAATAAGTTATTTAAATTTACAAAATAATAGCATTCAATATTGTTTCCCTTTTCAAAGAAATGTTTTATTTTTATTTCCCTAACCAGAATTAACAGTATTAAGTGAAACACATTTATAATTCATTATGTTGCAATGTGAGGATTGATTAGCACCAAAACAATAATTAAAGTGTATTACAAATTTGCAGAACAATCTCATACACAAATTGAAGATTTTTTTCGCCTAAGACAACAATACAAAAGACAACAACCTAATGAATGGGAATGACTCACAAGGAACAAATGAAGAAGTTACCAATGTATAATTATGATCAGATCTATTATACAATACAGACTGCAATACGTATAAAGGGACGGTCAGGGCTGCGGCAGGTCGAGCGTGAGGCGCAGCACGGGCAGCGCGAGCGCGGCGCCCAGCAGCGGGCGCTCGTGCGCGCCGAGGCAGCGCCAGCCCGCCGCCAGCAGCGCGGCGCGCGCGGCGCCCTGCAGCGCGCTGGCCGCCGCGCCCAGCGCTGCCAGCCCGCGCGCCGCCGCCGCGCGCCGCGCCGCGCCCGCCAGCGCGCGTCCCGCGCCGCGCCCGCGCCATCTGACCGCCGCCGCACACGTTTATATACACTCATATAAATATACCTCACTTTTCAAATGACCTACCGTTTAAATATTAAATGTATAACATGTGACATGCAATTTTTTCCACAGCCAAAATATATAATACTCATATGAGTAATTTATTTACATTTTGAATGTTTAGAATAAGATTATTCTTTTTAAGCAATGTTTTATATTTTTATAAAGTAAAAATTATACATAATCATACTCTATTTTTGTTTGATTTATTAATAAATGGAATTTAACCATGTCTTATATTTAAATAGGTGTGTTATGTTTAAATTGGGTTAATTAAAATTTTATAAGATGAAAAACTCACTGTGGATGAACAACCATTGCGTGTAACCAGCCATTGTTCTCTGGGCCCCAGAAGTCCGACACACTCACTGTTCCCATCACCTATAATATTATGTAATTTAAAAATTTATAATTTTTATGATTACCCCATAGACTTAAGAAATGTTTTAATGTTTTGTAACACACCACAACTGAATTAATAAAATTAGTCACCCACCACCACTGGGATGTGCCCAGGATGCAGTGGGACTGCAACATAGGGACAAACACCTACTTCAAGACACTAATAATATCATGTATGAACACAGATATTTACCATATGAGGGGAAAGAATCCCACTGATGAGGCAGAGCTTTGTTTTACAACCCCTGCACCAGCTCAATCATCAATGGTTTCTTTTCATTTCTGTGACATTCATTTTCAACAAGGTTAAGTTATGCAAAATTATATTATAATAAAATATATTGTGATAAAAATATTGTGTAAGCTTACTTGTGAAAAACTTGTATCTTTATCCTGGTTGAGCTGAATGGAAATTAGGATAGGGTCTGTCCCCGGAGTCATAAGCAGTCTACCTTTCACTTCTGCTACTAAGCCAAACATCTCTTTACGAATACTCTGTGAAATATTCAAAATATACTTTAATACCTTCTTTTCTTAATAATATGTTGGGACATTAACACACAACACCATTTATTTTAGTTCCATGGTAAGAAGCTAAGAAGTTCCTTTTCTGTCTGCTCTTGGCTCATATAATTTGTCATGAGTATTAGAATATCATAAAAATCAAGCTATGGACATTGTAAATCTTGAAATTCATATGAACTACTTATTACATAATTCTTTAAAACTTATGATCTCCTGGTACGATTTTATGATAATACCACATGGAGTCTTAATAAATTATAAGAGGTGACCTCAGTCGATATATTACATTTTTTATTGTCTAGCTCTGACTTGACAACTGTGCCGAGTATAACGTGAAATAAGGAACTGCGTTCCAAGAACGAAATATGGCATTGAGATAAACTTAATAACTATTATTGTGAACCTGCGCTTGCTTGTGGGCGAGTGCGTGGTGCGTGCAGACCACGGCCAATGCGACAAGCGCCGCGGCTGCCGGCAGAAGCGCCAGGCACGCCGGCAGCGACACGCCCAAGAAGATGAACAGCACTGCACCACTCAGCACGCAGCATTCTAGTGTTAGCTGCAATTGTAACGTTTTCATTCATGTTTGAGAATCGAGATTTCTTCGCAATAACTGTGTTTATTTTAAATCAAATATACCTCCTGAAAAAAGAAATATATAAAAGCATCCCAAAAGTACGTAGACAGGCCATTGCGTACGAGTTCCATCCGTTGCTGTAAATCCTCATTGCGAGCATAACGAACAATAATTTCACAAGACATTGTTTTCGATTAAAAATGTTGATAAAACTTAATAGTTACAATATAAAATAGTACATAACTTTACTTAATATCATCATTATATTATTGCAATGTCTAATGAACTAAATATTACATATTGAAACAAAATAAAATATTCTTTAAAGTTAAATATAAAATTCGAGCACTAATATTTCATATTTGTAAATGTTGACTTTTTAGTTAAATTAACGCAATACGCAACTGTCAAAACTTCGAATAAGATCTGTCAAGTGTCAAAATATAACCCTTTCGGGCCTTTCCTTGCAGTCTGGTCGGGTAATTAATTAAATATAATATGTCTATTTATCGCTTGTCTCTATTCCGTAAGTCAATGTGCGCAGGTGTTCTTTTTCGCAAATGTAATATTTTTTATACAAAATAGTAATTATAATAATTAAGATTAAAATAAGTAAAATCATAATATTATATTCTTTCTTGAAATTTATAATTAATTTTTAAATTTACTATTATTTAGCGTTGATTTGTAATTTTATTTATCAATAAGAATAAAGGTAAATTTCATTTAGTTGCCACAGGTAATACTCTATATTACAAAGAGGTAAAGTTTCTGATCTTGTGAGTTTGTGACGTTGTGGGGGTTATCTCTGGATCTACTGAACCGATTTTCAAATTTTTTTTACCAATAGAAAGCCACGTTCTTTCTGAGTGTCATAGGCTATATTATATTAACCCGAAGAATGAAAAGGTTTTTCGTGGTAGTCGGATTTGCAAAGTAAGTCGGAGAAAAAACGGTCGAACGAAAACGTTTCTTACGAACGCTGCCTTAACGATGAGAGATATATGTATGATCATGTTCAGAGAAAAGTTGTAAAGCTTAATAATGCCTACAAAAAAGTTAGCGACAGCATAAGTCTACTTTTATATTTAAGTCACAAAAAGGAGTTTTTTATATTAAAAAAATAATTTATATTGGTAGGTCATGTTTATTGGTCTTATTATCAACAATTATGAATTCTTATCAAAATAAGTAAATTTATCGTCTAAAATGTTTAAAACAAAAGACTTTTCCCTTTTACTGCATATAATTTGGAAAAAATGGTTAAAGAGATAGTACAATATATTCGAAAGTATGGACGAAACCGAGCGAGCTGTCTGTTTTCCTGTTTGTACGGGCTAATCTCCGAATCTATTGGACCGATTTAAATGAAATTTTGTATGGTGGTACCTTATATCTCCGGGCAACATCTTAGATACTTTTCATCCCGGAAAATAAAGGGTTCGTGGGATAGTTAAAAAACTTTAACAACTTATACAGCTAAGTACACAAAAACTACTGATTGGATTTTAATGAAACTTTGCAATAATATAGCTCATACATGATAAAAACAAATCAGCTACTTTTTATCCCAGAAAATTAAAGATTTTCCGTGGGATAGTCAAAAAACTATAGTAACTTAACACAACTACTACTGATTGGATTTTGATGAAAATTTACAATAATATATATAGTTCATACATCAGAATAACAAATAGGTTACTTTTTATCCCGGAAAAATGTACAGTTCCCGTGGGATAGATGTTTTTGTTTATTTGTAACGTATTATGTACACAACATAGACCCCAAAACAACAGTTATTAAAAAAAAATTCTGTTCGTCTGTTTTTGCGTAAGCGTTTCACGCGAAAAGTAATGTACCGTTTTTAATGAAATTTGGTGAAGTGATAACTTATTACTCGAGTCAACATTTAGAATACGTTTTGTATGTATGTATGTATTTATTAATGTATGTATTCAGCCCTTTTTAACGTCCCACTGCTGAGCACGGGCCTCCCTTCAGTACGAGGGGGATCAGGCCATAGTCCACCACGCTGGCCAAGTGCAGGTTGGCGGACTTCACATGTCTTTTGAAAACTTGCTAGGTTTTCTCAGACATGCAGGTTTCCTCACGATGTTTTCCTTCACCGTTAAGACAAGTGGTAATCGTGTTAGAAATTATTCGCACATGAAAATATCAGAGGTGCGAGACCCAGGATTTGAACTTGCTTCACTTGGTTTACCAAGCGAGCGCGTTACCACTGGGATAGCACTGCCTAGATACCTTTTACTTCAAGAAAATCTTTCTTTCCCACGGGAAAATACAATAACTGGTTTTATCGAGTCCTCCCTAGAAACCTTCCGCTGGCTAAGCCTTAAGATATACATACAATAAAACAATATACTAAAAAATTGTGGGCCTTGAAAAGTCCTGCAGAAGAGTTCTGAATTGTATATGTCTATCTCCTGTTACACTCGCAATATTTATTCTTTTATATACGTATAATAAAACTAACTTAGTCAAATCGATGTGCGCGTTTCTCGCAAAAGGTACTCCACCGATTTTTACTACATTTTGTATAGTGATAAAACTTAGTACTCGGGTCAACATTTAGGATACCTTTTACGACAGGCAAATTATTTATTCCCACGGGAAAACACAATAACTGATTCTATCGAATCGTCTTTAGAAATTTATATGGCTAACGTTGGCTCAACCTTATATATAGAGATCAAAACATTGTGTAAGAAAATTGTAAGTCTTAAAAAGGTCTATAGAAAAGTTCTCCTAAGGTACACTCGATACAGCTTTTTTTTTATTATTATATATTACTGTTTTATTATTATATATTACTGTTTTATTATACGTTATTTATTCTATCTATACATATAATAAAACTGTAGAGTTTAGAAAAAAATGCTAAAAACCGAGTCAGTTCTCTTCTTACATCCCGAAAGAAGAGAAATAGAACAAATCGTTTTTTTTCTTTTTTTTTGTTTCTCTGTCTGTTTGTCTATTTGTACGGGCTAATCTCCGAAACTATTAAACCGATTTAAATGAAATTTTGCATGGTAGTACCTTATATTCCCGGTCAATATCTAAGATACTTTTCATTCCAGAAAATTAAAGAGTTTCCGTGGGATAGTTAAAAAACTATAGTAACTTATACAGCTTAGTACACAACAACTTATGCACCAAATTTAGTAAAACTTGGCATACTGATACCTTATATTGCCGGTCAAAGAACAGGTTACTTTTCATCCCGGAAAAATGAACGGTTCCCGTGGGCTAGATATGTTTGTGCTAGAGGCGAACCTGAGCGAAGCGAGGGTGAGCCGCTAGTATGTTATAAATATACTAAAGATTCGACCTCGCTTCGTCCGGTTCCGTCATTTATATGTTTACCCAACCAATTTAAAAATTTAATTGTTAACCAACTGTCATCATCCCAAATTTTCATCAAAATCTGTCCAGTGGTTTTTGAGTGATTTTTTTTTATAGAAAAAGGGGCAAACGAGCAAACGATCCACCTGATGGTAAGTGGCTATCGCCGCTCATAGACATCTGAAACACATGAGGAGTTGCGAATGCGTTGCCGGCCTTTAAGGGACCTGAACACACGGCTCTTGAAGACCCCCATATTATAGCGCTCAGGGAAAACCTCAGGAGGAAGATCATTCCACATTTTGCACGTGCGAGGTAGAAAAGAACGAGATGCACGTACATTTGTAGGATTTTGTCACGACAGACAGGCAAATTGTAAAAAATTTGACCTTTGTATTGTTAAACTGATTTTTATACAAAATAGTTAAATTGTAGATTCAAATAAGTTAGAATTTTGTTAAATGTATAGATACATTATACTCATTGTTTCTGTTATTTTTTAATTAGATGTATAAATATTATTTATGTTTAAGTTGTTTATTTTTCTTTTTCTTGTCTTCTGTTTCTTATTTGTTTTTGTTATAATGTGAAAACTTGATTAGTTTATGTAATGTCTTGTTATTATTTATTTAATATTGTGCTATTTGTGGCATATGTCATAATACACTTCTTCCCGTACGGCAATAGAGACTACCAGACGGCAGACCTTCTATGTTGACAAAAATATAAAATAAGTAGTGATTGTTATGTATATACATAATATGTTTGTTTCTGTATTTAATATTGTTTACTGTGAATATTTTTTGGTCATAAAATATTGTAATTACCATTATTAGCAGGTGTAAAACTATTAAAACGATGGTAAAGCATTTCCAACTTTGTAAAGTCTACTACTAAGGTAGTTGAAGGACGATGTATATATTAGAATTTTATTGTTATAAGAATTAATGTTCAAATAAATTATATTACATCATATTTTTTTTTTATTTTTGGGCCTAAGTAAAAATATTAATGAACAATAATATGAATATGTATAGAGCTACGTATATACCTACAAAGTTTCCCACGTTACAATAGAGATGGCGCTTTTTAAGCATTACCAGCTTCGACGGCGAAGTCGTACCTCTATTTATATATGTAGCAATATACTCTATGCTGTCTATACCAAACATCATCAAAATTAGTTCAGCAGTTAAGGCGTGAAAAAAGCAACAGACAGACATACAGAGTTCCTTTCGCATTTATATTAGTATGGAATATGGATTTTAGTTTCAGCAGTGTTAGTCGTAAGATTTAGACTGTGCGCTTTTATTTGCGTAGACCCTCGTAGATTTAATAAATGTTATATTCGGATTGCAATTTTTTCTAGTACTTATTTGATTACAAAAAAAAATAATATCGGAACTACGTCCTCAATACTCAGTATTCTCCACGAGGTCATTCAATATTATGAGTGAATTAATTCTACCTACGTTAATTTAAAGGATTCAGAGAATAAAACAAAACATTTATATTTTTCTTTTTTTTATTTAATTCAAATGCATTTGGTATCATGTTATAATACAATATTTTTCATCAATTTTTACAAAGACACATAATTTTCGATAAGTAGACCTCCGAATGCTCTTTCGAAGCGGAGCGAGTATACATTTAATAAAACATAGGAATATGTCTTTAGAATATTTTGTTCGTAATATTATACTGATATGAAGCACATCTAGTCTATGAGTCCAGTTAAATATTTGGATAAAATTTCATACGTTAATGTATTTACATCATATACTCACTAGTCATTCCTGCTAATACTGACGTCTCCTCACGCGTGTACGAGAAGGAGGCCGCGACTCCCGCGGCGCCGCCATAACACAATATACGCTCCAAAATCAAACCTTGATCGAAACTTAGATTGAAACCTGCAGGTGATCATTTTTTGTTTTCATTTAAATTTGTTTCATATTCGTTTAGTTAAATAGCAGACCGGGGAAGTCGCGGCGAGTGCCGTCACGCGGATACCACTCGTATTCCGGCACAATTTTCAAATCGAAAATTACGATCAGGACTTGAATTAGAAAATTACTCTAGCATTTCGTATCTCAAAGACGCTTATTTATTATTACTTTGCCATTTTAAATAAACTACGAATAGTTCGCCGAAGTGTCACTATTTTAAAAAATAAATTATAAGCGTTAAAAAATAACTACTTTATTTTCATTCCTACGTTAATCTTGATAGAAGATTGAATTATATTAAAATACGAATGAAAATTAATTATTAATATTAATACACGTAATATATCTCTTATTTTACTCGTTTAGCATAAATTGTTCAAAATATTACTAGATTATTACAAAAACATTAGTCGAGAGTAACAGTACGAGCGGCGAGTGCGGTCCAGCAGTATGTATGTACAGCGCGCCGGCGGCTGCCACTCGAGTGGCAAATATTTACACAACTTTCCAGTGTCGATTAAAACAAGTAAAATCTATATAAAAAGGTACACGAGTAATATTGTTTTATTAGTACGAGTCAGTCGTGGGCCGGAGCTGCGCAAGCGGGACGCTCCCGCACAGACGTGACGCACAACTTCACAGACTTAAACTCTATTGTGTGCAAACTATAAGGCATTTTGATCACGATCTCTAGGCGAGCGAGTCCAGTTTCGAAACAAAACATACACAGTGGCGGCGGCGGCGCTCAGACGTAGTGTGCGGGCTCGCGCGGCGCGTCGTCGTCGAGGCCGGCGGCGGCCCAGTCGCGCGCGCGCGGCGCCAGCAGCCCGCACAGGCGGCACTGCAGAAAGTCCGCCAGGTTGTTGAGCGGCCCGCGCGTGAAGGGCGAGCGCCCGCCGCGCGCCTGGAAGTGCCGGTAGCGGCCGCGGTTCAGCTGCTCGTTGGTGGTCATGCCAAGGCACACCACCAGGTACAGCTGGCAGCACGTCAGCACGGTCACCCAGAACAGGTGGAAAGCGGCGTTGAGCAGCACCCAGGCGAGCCAGGCGTCGCAGCGCGCCCAGGCCAGCAGCGCGGCGGGCCCGTCCGCCGGCGCGCAGCGCGCCGTGTAGTACTGCACGCCGCCCCACAGCATCCACACGCACATGACCAGCAGGCTGACGAGGAAGCCCACGAAGTACTGGTGGTTGTTGGCGCCGATGCAGTTGGCCACCCAGGGGCAGTGGTGGTCGAACTTGGCCACGCAGCGGTTGCAGACGGAGCAGTGCTTGGAGCGCAGCGGGCGGCGCAGCAGACAGGCGGAGCAGAAGCGCGCGGGCTCGAAGCCGCCGCCGGCGCCGCGCTCGGAAAGCTCGACGATGGTGCGCAGCTTGTCGGCGCGCGAGGCGCGGATGACGCCGGGGTCGCTGCGCCACGCGCGCACGAACGTGTACCACAGCGCCAGCGAGCTCAGCAGGAAGCCGGCCGTGGCGCCGCCGCTCACCACCGGCGCCACCAGCGCCAGCCACGTCATGTAGAACCACACCTGCGTCACACGGACTGTATACTCACTTTTATCCCTACTATTGTTATGAACCAAGGACTGGTTTCATTCAGCCAAAATTTTATAGTAATACAGGTTACTTTACGAACAAATTTCAGTAAGTGACCAAGGCTTCAGGACAATGCTCAACATTAACAAATATTTCAAGAACTATATTCTATATAATTAAAAGCAGTTTGTATAAATTAAATAAAAACAAAGTCACACACTGATTTCTATTGTTGATTAATACAAGGTCGTGTGAGCTCATTACTCTTGACATTTGTCCGTCGAATATACGTTAATTTTTTAAGTTTATACTCAAATTATACCACTTAATCTTATTATATTTCTATATTACACAATTTTAATCAATTTTACCCATATTTTTATATCAACTGTTTTACTTATACCTCTTACCAAATAGTTTTAATTTTGGAACATTTAAAAAAAAATTTTTACACTGTTTTAAATATTTTATATTTTTAGTTGTAGTTTTTATAATTTTTGGATGTTTTTTTTTTGGCAATAAACTTTTTATACCATTTAAATTTTAAACCTTCACATTTTTTTTGTAAGTATATACTCTCGTGAGCAAAAAAATCGACTCAGGACGCACGCTTGCGGTTAAAAAGCTCTAGCAAAAAATCGGAAGCTTTTATTATATTTCTGATTTTAACATCTCAAAGTTCTTTGTTTTAGCTTTAAAATGAGTGGTCTATGTTGTTATTAAAAAATGTTTTCTGGTAAAGAAAAAATATTGAATGAGATGGAGTCTTAAGCAATAAAAAAGTGATAGTTGAAGGTAAAGAAAATACCACGTAAAATTCGTCAAAACAATAATTTAATTAAAATTATTTTTTTAATATTTAGTGTTGCCCCCCCTGGCCCTAATAACAGCTTCCAATCGCTTTTTCATGGATCGAATAAGTTTCCTTACTCGATCTTGTTCGATGCTATTTCATTCGTCGATTAGCGCTGCTTTGAGGTCCGCCATCGTGTCTGGTGCAGGATTTCTAGCCCGAACTTTTCTTTTAAGATCATCCCACAAATGCTCGATAGGATTTAAGTCCGGGATACGCACTGGCCAGTCCATAGCGGCAATTGCGACCTCCTATAAATACTGCCGGACGGAACTTGCAGTATGTGGACGGGCTTTGTCGTGCATTAGGACGAAGTTTTCGCCAATGAAACCGGCGTAGAGAACGACGTGATCCTCAAAAATCTCTTCGATGTATCGGATCGCCGTCAATCCTCCCATTCGACCGCCAGTTTCAATAAAAACCAACTCGGTTTTTGCCTCGCTTGAAATGCCGGCCCACACCATCCAGGAACCTCCTCCAAAAGCAACATTTTCTTTGATACAGCACTGCGCGAATCTTTCTCCAGGTCTTCTGTAGACTCGTCCTCTTCTATCACTACCATGCAAGCACACTCTACTTTCGTCTGAGAAGAGAACGGTGCTCCATTGTTCGTCAGTCCAATCAACATGTTCTCTAGCAAAATGTAGGCGGGCTGCTCGGTGGTCTGGGGTTAATTTGGGGCCAGTAGCTGGCCTTTTTGGCTCAAGCCTAGCTGCTTTAAGTCTTCTTCTGACTGTCCAGCCACTCACAGCTACTCCTCGCGTTTCTCTGAGCTCTTGTTGGACTTGAACGCCAGTGAGGGCCCGATTTCTTAACGATGTGCTGACAATAAATCGGTCATCTCTCTCTGATGTGCACCTTTTTCTACCGGAACCGCGTCTTCGATTAAAGCCATCAGTCTCCTGGTAACGACGGTAAACTCTGGAAACAGCAGACTGGCTCATGTTCAGTGCACGTCCCACTTCACGCTGACTCTGGCCTTGTCGCAATAGGGTGATCGCTTGAGCTGCTAAATCGCTTGTTGTGTCCATTTTCAGGTAGAATTCTTGATTGTTGATAACGGAGATGTGTATCGGTTGACGTTTGACGGCTAACTGATAAGGGTGGGTCAGGTAGATAACCTTTTATATGGGTCAGTAACCCTTAATTAGCACTATTGTAAACAAGCGTAAAAAGGGTGGTTACTGATTACAACATATTGTTGGGTTGTGTGAGCAATAAACCTTACAATATTTTATATCATTTTGAAGCTAATACTAGCAGCTTTAAGATTTTACTATGAAAAAAAAAATATTTGCTTTCAGTTTTTTTTCCAGTGACTTGCGACTACAGATGTGTCGTCTGAGTCGATTTTTTTGCTCACGAGTGTATTTTTTTGTAATTTTTTATGCATGTTTATTTAATTGTTTATTGTTTTTTTTTTAACTTTACTTTTTACACTTTTATTAAGTATTTTATTTTTCATAGGATAGATACGTAGTATAAGTTTCGGAACAGCTAGCTAGTTTACGCGTGTTAAGTTAGCCTATAAGTGTGGTGTATAGTGTAAAAAAAATATTTTATAAGAAATTATTATGTATAAAAGATCAAAAGCACTGTATACTATGTTGGCTTCCTATATAATAAATAAATATTTTTCGACATTGTCATGCACTAGTCGATGTCAAATGGACTCACTCGATAGTTTTGTCATTTGTTCTGAATAGTATAATCCAGCCATTTTATAATGGTTGTCAGATGTCAACAATACATAGAAATATCGACTATATTTAACATAGTTGGATAATATGACATTTTATTTTACATTTAATGAAATTTTGTGATAAATAACAATAAATGAAATAAAATAATGTACTTACAATTGAAAAGAAATAGTGCTGCTTCCGCCGTTATAGTTTTTACACCATTTAACAGAACATTTAGTCATTTTTGGGAGATGTTTTGTTGACAAGTGCTTGAGACTGACACAAAAAACAAACGACTAAGGCTAAAATTCCCTGGTTACTAACAAGACCGGTAAAGGTACGTCCGCTTATAAAGTCTGGTCCAGTGGATAATTCGTTCATGGTTGCGGCATTGTGAACGTGTTTACGTTGGCAGTGTTACAATAGAACTAATCGAAATTACGCTCACTTTGCAAGTGAGCTTATATTTACCGAGACGGATTTCTTACGCCGACCCGATATCTATAGTAGTATTGTTGATCGAAGGTAATCACCTAGTTTTATTTCGATTATCATTACTTTTTGATCACCCTAGAAATGTCAGCAATCAATTCCTAGTACAGATATAAAATGAGCCCTTATTTACCTTGGTAGCCAGATATACGCTGAGTGGGAATATGTTCTTAAGGTCGTCATCGAAGAGCGCATTGGTGAGGAAGTGTAGCAGCGCAAAGAAGCACACAAGCAGGAAGGCCTTAATCAGGTACAACGCGTCCATCTCCAGCACCAGCCCCGTCAGGTAGAACGCCACGAAGGGGATGCTCACCACGCACCACCACCGGAACTTCTGCAACAATCAAATCAAACTAATTTTAAGACATTAGCCAGAAGTTGTTGCTGGAAAGACATTATTTTCTTAATTATCTCTTGTGACTGCCAGTTGTTCACAATTATTTTTAATCTATTTAAACATCACACAACTAACAATTTAATGTTTAAACTAACTCACCCTGTCATAAGCAAGTCGACGAAAAATACTTTTCTTGGACGACATCACAGAATGTTCTTTAATTTTATCAGAAACTTTAGATCCAACCCAAAGCGACTCAGCACTGGTCTCTAACATCGTCAGAGGCGTCACGCCTCTAAGATTGGGTACGTCCAGGCTCGCATTTCCCTAGAAATAATATTCAATTTAGGTTTTTTTATATTCACAAACTCAAATTAAATTTAAAACACTGTATTTGCAAATAAAATGATACAACGGCTCACGTAAAGAATCAAAGTGGATATGGCGGTAGTGTTCCGGGCGAGGATGGCCCAGTGCAGCGCGGTGTTGCCGTGCGAGCGGTCGGTGGGGTTGGTGGAGGCGCCCAGCGTGAGCAGCAGGCGCGCCGGGTCCACGGCTGTCACCTTCCAGCACGCCCACATGAGCGGCGTCATGCCGCCGGCGTCGGGTGCGTCGGCCGGCACGCCGCGCGCCACCAGGTACGCCACCACGGCCGTGTGCCCGAACTGCGCCGCCAGGTGCAGGCAGGCGCAGCCCTCGGCATCGCGCAGGCTGGCGTCCGCGCCCGCGCGCACCAGCAGCACCGTGGCCTCCAGGTGTCCCTGCCGCGTGGCCCAGTGCAGCGGCGTCGACTGCAGCTCGCCGCCGATGGCGTCCACCTTCGCGCCCTTCGATAGCAGGTACTCTATTATTTCCTTCCTGCAAATTTTGTGCATATATTTATCTAATTATGGTGGCCCTCAATATTTAAAAAAAATTAACATTTAAAATTCCTTATTATTGCATAACATAATAATATCAAGTTGAGTGCCAAGATCTCTGTGTGTATGGCAATAGTTCTCCCAAATCTTTTGTATTCATCAGAAACGTGGTGCCCCTATCGTAGGCATATAAGGACTTTGGACAAATTTCATCTTAAATGCCTCAGAAACATCATGAACATCAGATGGTCGAACCGTATTAGAAATACGAATGTTTTAAGGCGAACCAAAGTTCTCGGCATAGAGGCCTACTTAATGAGACACCAGCTAAGCTGGTGTGGTCACGTATCAAGGATGCACTAGGAGAGACTGGCGAAGCGCATCTTCTATTCCGAACTCCAGAATGGTAAACGGAAACATGGTGGTCAGTTGTTACGTTATAAGGATGTTCAGAATAGACACTTTAAAAGGTGCAAAATTGACCCCTTAGTATGGGAAAAGCAGGCACAAAATCGGCTTGAGTGGAGACGTCATGTGCATCGGCAGGCGTTGACCTTTGAAGAGGAAAGAAGGTCGCAATTAGACGCAAAACAAGACGACCTTAAAGCTAGGCCACCTACAGCTGTAAATTATTACAATGTCGTCAATGGTGTTCTGACATGTCCGCTTTGTGCTCGGAGCATTTCAGCCAAAGTTGGATATGCCAGTCACATGAGAGCACACGAAAGAGCAGCGCATCGAAGCTCACGACGACCGCCATAGAAAGCCATCGTCATGCAGTCGCTGTGGCCGAAAACGGCTAGATGGCATCAATCTATAATAATATTAGCACCGAGTTTAGTATATGGGATGCGGCCCCTGGAGAAGTAAGTGGTATTTTTGGATGGGGGAGGTGATAGGGAGTTCAAATATATTAAAATTATTTTGAGGAAACGTAGGAGTCAAAAGTTATTGAGTCTTAAAATTAGAACATTTCCATACATTTCTATACCTATCTAAGTCATTACAAAAATAAACATACCTTTAACGAATGATAAACATTCTTTTTCGTGTAAAATCCATATTTTCATAATAATTAAGGCTTTATTGTATTAATATTTTGATAATTTCACTAAAAACAATAACCTAAACAAAATAATCTTAAATTTTGACAAAAATGTCAATTTCTGTTTTATATACTGCTTTCAGGACATAACAGATTATCGCTTAGTAATTAGTTAAGAGTTATGCATATTAAAAGTGAAAATTGACGTTAGATTACTAAGATTCTATAATAGAAATATGTTATTTTCAATTCATACATACATTTACGAATTTTTATTTCATTTATTTAAAATATTGAGTTATATAATTAATTTACGTTTAACAAATTTTTTTAAACGATTAGGTACTTAAATTTATTATCTGTAAATACTTTTTAGTATTTTTGGAGGGTAGTCACAAAATACCATGAAGTTCCATAGTATAAGTGAACAAGATCTGTGGTCATTAAACGCGTTTAAGTTTTCATAGTTTTTGCTCTTTTTCATAGTTATTTTTCTCATATTATTTTCCAGTAGTTATTAGTTTTTGTTAATTTTCGTATATTTTCGTTTCCATTCTTTTGTTTTAATAGTATTACTATACTTTTTAATAAGGCGGTAGCTACGCTACACTTCATTCCCGTCGCTTAGCCTTCTCGTTAGGTATTTTTTTTATTTTAAACCCAGAATCCCTACTATCATTAGTGCTTTGTATTAATTTGAAATTCGGTGATAGATCTGACTCATTATTTGAAGATCATTTTGGGAAGTGACATTTTGACATTTCCAAGCGTCAAAATGGCATTAATGTATGGAAATTTTGTAACTTTAAGTCTCAATAACTTTTGACTCTTTCGTTTCCTGAAAACAAAATTTATGTATTTGGATTCCCTATCGCCTCTCCTATCCAAAAATACCACCCCCTCCCCAGGGTCCGCGTCCTATATACTAAACTGCAGCCTAATATTAATAAAGAGGTAAAGTTTGTGATTTTGTGAGTCTGTGAGGTTGGGGGTAATCTCTGAATCTACTGAATCGATCTGGATGAAATTTGGTAAGAAGATAGTTTGAGATCCTGGAAAGGACGTAAGATACTTTTTATCCCAGAAACCATCCCTTAAGGGGGTGAAAATGGGGATTGAAAGTTTGTATGGGAAATAAACCACGGACAAACCTGAGCGAAGCGAGGGTGAGTCACTAGTAGTCTATACTATATTGATGTTTTATTACGACTTATAGCATGAATGATGATGGAAATACATAATTTAGTAAGCTTTGAGGAATGTCATTTAAGTCAATGTTACACATCCTATAGAAATACTTTCTTATCTCAGAATATAAAAAGAAGATTATCTATGCTACCCATTAACTTATCCTTTAACCATGTCATAATTTCATTAAAAAGTTTTCAGTCATTTGTTACAGTATGTCAAACAGACAAACAAGTAGAAATTAAAAACAAATGGTAATTTATGGCTAAATAAATATATCTTTAAAAAGCCAAAATAAAGGCATTTATTATTACCATATTACAAATCTAAAATATGTATAATTGCTATTTTTTAATAAAAATTAGGGCTTTGTGTTAATTATTTGTTAGTGAAAATTTGATTACTGTTGTTGTTTAATTGGTAAAACCGTGATACTATTTACATTTGAAGAAGAAATTGCTCTTAAAGGTGGTTCAGATAAATAATAATATTAAACTCTTTATTGTACATTAAGAATAAAAATACTGAAAAGATGTAGATGATGTACCTACAAGAGTAGACCTTATAGCTACAACACCGGTAAATCGATTTTTTTACTCAAATTTAGTTTAAATGGTTGATAAAATAGTGTAATATATATATGTTCACTCTGTCTAACCATTAAGATAAGAATCAAAAATATAGAATCAAGTAATGATACTTCATTTTAGGTCAAAGCTAAAAACAGAGAACATATTATCTTATCTTTAACTTGCATGATTCATTTCATATAGATATTGATTAGTTATAGTTCCATATTTATGGCCTTATATTAAGGACAAATTTGTGTAAAAACTAAGTTTTAATTCTAATTCCCTGTATTCTCTTTTTTCATTTAACCCAATGTCAGTTTTAAGAAATCTAAGTGTCTACTAATACATATTTATCTTTTACAATTATTGATGACTGCAACTATGACTATATTAGTCAATGAACCTAACTGTATCCACTTGTATTAAGGCCTACCTATTATTAATCGCTGCCCAGTGTAAGAGAGTGACTGTTTCGTGGTCTGGTTGATTAACATCCCAACCCGCCTCCACCAGCTCTTTAACACGAGCGAAGGCTCCATACTGGGTTGCCTTCACGATGTCAAAGCCGCTGTAATCGCGCTCCACGGGCGCCGGCGGAGGCTCTCGCGGCGGCGGCCCGTCGCCCTCGCGTTGCGAATTACCGCATTGTCCTGTAGCGGCGGCGCCGCACGTGCTGTCATACATACTCTTTACGGTCTCTTTGCCAAACTTAACATTATCACGCCACTAACAAAACACACTCGCTAACATTCACTCTAATACATAATTGCTCGTATATATATTGACAACGAAAAGAAACTACTGTCAATTCATTTATTGACATTTCTTTATTAGGTCGTTCAAGATAAAAACAAAATAAAAATTAAAAAGCTTCATGTAACATAGCGTTCGCTTTAACTGCAACTAAAATATTAAAGCTAAAAGTAAAATGTTAAAATCTAATTTGATAATTGAAGTTAAACTATAAGCATAAATGATTTTGTTTAAGAAATAAAAGCTTTGACGAAATAGAATTTTGTGGAAATAGGAATCTACATCACAGATTAAACAAGTTCCAATTACAGAGCATGTCGTACCACAGAATAAACAAGATGTCGTACTTTAGCGCACAATACCAGGTACCCTACCCCAACCTACCCTACCCCAGCCTGCAAATTTATGATATTTGCAATGAAAAAAATACTAATCGATAGATTTTCAATAGCTCAATTTAACTACGTAGCCCTTTCAAATTGCTCACCTTTAATTATTTAATTAAAAATCAATAAAGTCTTTGAAAAAAAATTAATTTATCTGTATATTCAAACTCCTGTATCTTTTGATGTATACAATATTTCAAATTGCTCAAAGTTCTAAAACACTGCTCAAGTTGCATTTGTAATTGCTCAAGTAAAGTTTTTACCAGCTCCACTTTCCTTAATTATTAAATAAATATAAATAGTTTGAATAAATTTAACGTATAGATAGGTGAGTGCTGCGCATGCGCGCAAACAGTAACGCGAGTCGCAAGGCAAAAAAATCAAGTGTTTCATAACCTCATCATAGTGAAATGAAACTGTAATACTCCAAGCACAACATCATCTATGTTTCTGGTTTCTTTGCCAGCCGTCAGCTAAAAATGGCGGAAAGGCGTGACAGAGACAAAATGAATGTGCGGCCAGAAGTCTTCTGTATATACATTTTTTTACGATATTTTAACAAAACTATGACTAAATATTGTTAACTAATGAATAAACAAGATTAAACTATAAATAAATTTCATTTCTTTCTGTAATTACCTTAAAATCAAACTTTTCAGATAAATCAATAAAATCAACTCCAAAATCTATCAAAAACGAATAAAATATCGATGAATTCGAAAAAATTATAACATAAATAGATTCTACGGCAAAAAAATATAAAACCACTGGTGTACTTTACGTGAATACCAACTTTTGTTATTTTTTCACGACTCGTCAAATTGAAAAGTTGGAATGTTTACGGCGACATTGTATAAATAATATGCGTCAAATTAAAAACTTAAGGATACCATTTTTTTTCGTTTTTTCCTGAAAAATACATTGGTGTAATTAGTTTATAAAAATTTGGTCAATACACTTCTACAATCAAATATATCAATAATATCAATCCTATCAGCAGTACACTGAAGATGTACTGCGCCGACCCCAAGTGATTTGGGAAATGGGCAGGGAGAAGAAGAAGAAGACACTTCTACAATGATAATTGAAAGTAGTTTACAAAGTAAAAATTATGGATGTCTTCAATTTTTTGAATTTTTAAGGCTGTTTTTGCAAGACGACCATACAATGTTTTTATATTTTCAAAAAGTAGAGTTCAAGACGAAAAGAATGAGCCCTATCTGAAAATTGAACAGAATTTTTTTTAATATAAACGCCCACTTGAAGTTGGGGGTGATTTTCAGCCTCTCGAGACCATAAAACATACTTTTCTCGGAAATGGCTAAACATTTCAATTTCATTTTTTTTCTTAATTATATGTATTTTGAAGATTACATTCCCTTAGTTTCATGGAAATCAAAAGATTATTTTAGAAATTAAAAATAAAAAACCAAGAAAAAGTTAAAAACCGAGTTTTTTGCAAATATCTCTAAAACTTTGAGGTTATTGTACAAGTGTTATTCATAAAAGTTGTAGATTTTTACTAGACCTACAACGTTTGTAGAAAACATTTTTCGATAGAACGTCACAGTAAGCCGGAAATCTGGGCAGATGGGGCATTTTACGAATTTCTATTCCTTATATACCTACCTGCTAACATTTTAAAATCATAAAACTTCAGGTTTTCAATATTTTTTTTCTTTTAAAAATAAACGGATTCCGATTGGTCTATGACTCTATACGGTTAATGAAGATAGATAATTTTAACATTATTATACTATACATTATAGGTACATTCCCTTATAAATAAAGTTGTTGCTACTCGTCCGATAATCGGATGAATAAAAAACATATTATTCGTCATATCATATGTATGCGAAACTCTAGTGTATTAAAAAATTCTAATTATAAAAATATTATTTACTATACTGAATTTTTATTCATTTTCGCTGTCATAATTAGCGCAGTTTTCAACTTCCTCATCAGTCTGGTCCGAAATGAATATTAAATTCATCATCACCATCTGGGATCCGAGTCTACTAGGTCTATGTACGTAGTACAGTACTGATTTGAAGTCTTAACTACCCAACCTACTGTTTTATTACCATTACCACAGATCATATAATACTACCATTACTTACAAATAAATAATTAGTATTAATTAGTACATACAATGACCTTTAAGTCGTTATAAATTAAATACTTAAATAGATTTGATTTGGAGGTACACCACAGAGTGCAATGTAAGTCCTTTTATGTTAATCTGCAGCGCTTAAGTAAATTCCAAAATGCCCTCTTGGGCTCCTCTACCCATAAGTCCCCACATTTCAGCACCAATATGACAGTTCATTGTGTCTTCACCGTTAGGCATTAAGGTGTGACCCACAAAATGATTTGTTGTATAAGTTTTGTTCTCTGGTGACAAGAATCAGAGCAGGCAACACACTAAAATGTTTTACTATATTTTATTTTACGAAAGTTTATGCATAAAAACTCAATTGTTATAATAATAGAGCAATACATAATGTTAAGATTACACGTGTGTTATTCAATTGATATCAATTTAATTGTTTTTCTAATCTTAATTTCTTTCAAATTTAAGTAGGTAGGTGCGAGTATATAGGGAAAATGAAACAAATCCATAAAGCTTTCAGTTTATTAGTTAAACAAATATCACTTTTATTTACAACCAAAGCAATCACAAATTTATAAACTAATCGTAATCACCTAAAACTACTTAACAGATTGAAATATTTACAATAGAGTAACAATCTTCAACTTACGAAACGTACACGCGTCAACTATTCGATCGAGTCGCGGAAGGCATCTTACGATTCTTAAGTACCCTACTCGGCGTGAGGGCGGCGCGCGGGGCGGCGCGGGGGGCGGCGCGCGGCGCGGGGGCGGGGGCGGCGGCGCGGGGCGGCGCGGGGGCGGCGGCGGGCGCGGCGGCGCTGCGGTCACGCGGAGGCCAGCGGCTGCGTGACGACGGGCGAGCGCCGCCGCGGCGACGCCTCGTCCGCCGCCTCACCCCCCGCACCGCCGCCCGCACCGCCTGCGCCGCCTGCGCCGCCCGCCGGCTCCGACAGACGCAACGCTACTTCTAAGTCGCGGAGAACCTGTGGAGAACATGCGTAAGTATTAAAACGAGTAAAATATCAACCATATTCACAAATTATGAGCACATATTGATAGCAGTTATGTGTGCAGGTAGTGGCGTTATTATATTTCCCAAAGGTGAAAAAGGGACCTTTAGGAATTATACATAAATAAACTATGCGAGTGGCGCTGCGGGCAATAGCGTGTGTCATTATTTATTTATAAAAAATCGAAGTATTTCGATGTTTTGTATATATATTAATTCATATATTACAATGCTTGTGATAATAATGCAAGCGTCTTTAGGGCTTGTATTATTATCACAAGGATTGTAATTAGGGCGAATTATGAGGTTTGTACCGTGTATATATGGCTTAGTTCTAAAATATTATCGCGTAGTGGAGAATCGTTTCTAGTCGTTGGTGTTTTCTCCAGTAGTGCTAGTAAAGAAGGATGGATTTACGAGGTTTTCCGTCGATTATCGCCAACTCAACGATGTAACTAAAAAGGATAGCTATCCTCTGGCTCGAATCGACGACACCCTAGACACTCTTTCTCGACTTGAAGAGTGGTTATTGGCAGGTGGATATGGATCCCGTGGATAAGGAGGAGACTGCATTTTCAACTGAAAAGGGGTTGTGACAGTTTAATGTTATGCCATTCGGGTTATGCCAATTGCCAGCCATATTCGAGAGATTAATAGAACATGTACTCGATGGATTATTATTAGGAGAGTTAACCTCTCTTACAGGACGTGATTTCGAAGACCATCTTAAGAAGCTCGAAGTGGTATTTGATAAGCAATTTAAAATTAAGCGCAAAGAAGTGCTCATTCTTTAGAATACGAGGGAAGAAGTGAGACCATTTCTAGGATTGTACTCTTACTATCGACAGTTCGTAAAGGGGTTCTCTAATATAGCCAAACCGCTACATCGACTTACAGAAAAGAAGAGCTCTTTCGTTTGAGACAATGATTGCGAATTGCCCTTCCAAGAACTGAAGAGATATCTTTGCCAAACGCCAATCTTCGGATATCCAGACAATAAAGAAGTTTATTGTCGACACCGACGCTAACAATATCGATATCGGAGGTGTACTGTCCCAGCGGAAAATTGACAAGGAAGTTGTTATCGCATATTTTAGTAAGTCCTTATCTAAACCGGAGAAGAATTATTGTGTAACACGAAGAGAGCACTTGCTGTGGTAAAAACCTTAAAATACTTTAAGAAATATTTGCTGGGTCGCAAATTTTTGGTGAGAACCGATCACTCTGCCTTGAACTATTTCACAAAATGGCCCGAAGCAGTTGCCATCTCCGATCAAGAAACAGTAACTATTGCAAATACATTGCTGAAAGATGTATTTTGCAGATTCAGTATTCCATTGGAGATACACAGTGATCAAGGAAGAAACATCGAATCGCAGGTTTTTCAGGAAGTTTGTAAGTGGTAAATTTGCGTGGATTTAAAAATGGTAAATATTATTCTTGGTCAACAAAATGGTTACAAACAATTTTTTAAAGTTCTAGATGCAAACAGAAAGTGCTTTCCCTACATTAGTCAAAAACTTCCTTACCTCACTATACAAAAGCTTAAAGCTGATACATTCGATGGCTCCCAAATTAAGCAACTTACGAATGATATCGCAATCTGATGGAATGGTGGAAGGGTTTAATCAAACTATAGAACGGCATCTAGCTAAGGTTGTGGAAAATCATTAAAAGGATTGGGACGAGCATTTATCATTGTTCCTGCTATCGTATCGGACGGCTGTACATGAAAGCATTAGAGTTACACCTGCTTTTGCCAATTTTGTGAGAGAACTGCCTTTACCGGCAGATCTGTTAAGTGGTTGCCCGCCGGATACTCCCAGTTGCATGATTAAATATGCTAGCGACCTCCGAGCGAAAATGATTGATGTTCATGAGCAGATACGAGGCGTGACTCCAAGCAAGTGAACGCATTAAAACGCGTTACGACCGGAAGGCGACGAAAACAAGCTTTGAGGAAGGCTCATTAGTGTCGGCAGTGACTGCACAACCCATCAAGACGGAAAGGTAAATCGCCGAAACTACAGTCCAAGGAAAGCCGAGGGGGAACTTATAAGATTATAACGAAAATTAATTATGTCACTTTACGGATACAACGTACGTCGAGAAGCCCAGCTAAGATTGTACATGTGGACTGATTAGCTAAGTATCACGGCAACAACGATGCTCGGGACGAACAGGTCTAGGAGGGAGCAATGCCGCGTAGTGGAGTGTGTAACGTCATTACACCAAAAATAATAATTGAAAAGGCACGTCTGAAGCATGCGTTTTCCTTTTTAGACAGTTGTCAACACATGACAGTCAACATACAAGTACAGTTAATCGTAAATTGCCATGTGTAAGAGAGAAACAAAACATCTCTACTAAAACAGAAAACTCGAAATTACTAAAACAGACAAGAACAGTTAAGTAATCGTAAATTGCCGTGTGTAAGATTAAGAGAGGAACAAAACATTCGGAATTACAAGAAAGGTTTCGCGAGTTTTCGATACTAGAATCAAGAATGTTTTTTTGTTTATGCACATAAAAAGGCCAATAGTGTTTCGAGAGATCAGTTAAATTCCGATGCTAAGTGAAAAGTGAGAAGAAGTACGTAAAGGTGAAAACGTGAAGAAAAGTGGAGTGAAAGTGTATCTAGTGGTGAAAATTAGTGTCCAGTGACTGAGTTTAACCCTATACTGTAACTGTACTGTAACTGTAATATGTGAACTGTATATATACTGCGCGTGTTAGTGAATCTCCATATGTCACTCTTGTTAACCAACTGCAATAAAATATCAATAGTGGAAAAAACGTGCTTTCATTTCCGATCCCCGAACTCATAGAACGTAATAATATATTATTATCGTCCAAGGTCCACCTAACAATTCCAACCAAGTTTTTCATAGATAGGACGCTAAATAAACAGGTGTTTCTTATTCTGACTTATCCGTATAGATAGATGATTCATATATTTAGATTATCTACACTAATATTATACGGTAATATAATAAGAAGTTTGTAAATTTACATATATGTGGTAATCACTGAAAGTACTGATCCGGTTTTGAAATACTTTTCACTAATAGGAAGCCGAGTGTTAAAGGGTATTTTTTGTTCCGATAAAAATGTGTTTACTGTCAAAAATCGTAATAAAATTGAAGTTGGAAAATAATTGTTATTATTGAAAATAAATTGGCCGTTTGAGTTGCTTTATCGGCACGCGCTGCTTTAACGGTTTGAAATAAAGCAATAAAATGTATAGCAATATGACACCTAGGGATACACTCGAGCGAAGTTAAGTTAAAAATATTATAGGACATAATAGGGGTGAAGAGTCAAATATTAACTTATGTACCTAAGTCAGTCTGAATGTTCTTTGAAGTGTTTTTTAGTTTTGTTAAGTAAAGGCGGAATCTTAGAATTTTAAAAGAGAAGCCAATGGGAATCGTGTAATGTACATAGCCTTGCCATAAATATTGTTACAAAGAAAAAAACATTGGTTTCTAACCAAGATTGCGTGGATCGAGCTTTATAACTCGGCGCCGAGTCTTGCTCAAAAGGACCATTCTTGGTTATTGAACATGGCGTTGTTAAGGGGCTTAACTACCTTATCAAGAATGGTATCTTGATACACTTGTGCCAATGTTTTCATACCTTTTTCACAAAAATATGGCTCAGTCACTCCTTCATAGCTAACACCCCACCAAACCATCACTGAAGTCGGATAATGCCCACGTAGTCTGTTGACTAATTGGGAAGCTTCCTTATAGCTTTGAGCGTAAATACGGTCAATTTTTTGTTGAAATATTGCTCAATTGTAAAAAAATTCTCATCCGTAAACCAAATTTTTCTGTGACCTCTCTTTGCGTACCGTTTAAGTAGTTGTTATGACTTTACCACCCTATTCTTTTTTTAATTATCAGATAAGAAATTACCAGTGCATCTCTTATAGGCTGCAAGTCCTAAGTCATCTTTTAAAATACACGACATGCTGTGCAAGGTGACATGCAAGGTGCTATCTTCATCTCCCGAGATAAAATCGTTTGCTTTCGGACAGGATTTCTTCGAATTCTTTACGTACGAACACTACGCGGACGGCCAGATTTTTTTCTGTCACAAACAGAGTAGGTTTCATAGTACCTATCAATAGCCCGGTACACACAAACATTTGACTAATACCAAGAGTATGGGTTTTAAAAAATGTATTTGACTCCATTCTTACTTTGTGTAATGCAATCACAGCGATTCGGTTCTCTTTATCACCCCACTCCATTTTAATATCACAAAATATTTTACAATGTATTGGCGCGAAAATAAACAATCAATTAACAATCATATAAAAATAACAGTTTCCAAATTCAAATGTAATATTTTGTTTATTTTTAATTGTGACAGTATTTATGGCCAGACTATGTATAATGACAATTTTCCCGGTACCTCGGTCTCCTTGTGGTCGAGCAGCGCGAAGCGGCGGTCGAGCGCGGTGAGGTGCGCGAAGGTGAGGTGCAGGTGCGCGTGCAGGCGCAGCAACGCCAGCTCGCGGAAGTGCGCCGCGTACAGGTGCGCCACCACGTGGAACAGCAGCCGCACCACGCGCCGCACCACGCCTTCGAACGACGTCGGGAACTCGTTTGCTGCAACCGACCACGTCGTGAGGGAACCTCCACGTCTGACAGAACCGGACTAGACTCTCTGATTGAAGGGAGGCCCAGCAGTAAGTCGATAGAAAGGGCTGAAATTACTCACCATACTTAGTAGGAAAAATGGTCTCGTCGTTAACCGTCTTCTGCGTGTAAGTCATGACGTAGTCGACGTACTGCGGTGCGGCGACGCGTGACTTCTTGCCGCGCTCGTCGTACCACGCGTAGGAGCGGCCGCCGGGGCCCGTCATGTCGGCGCACGTGGCCGCCGTGCAGAACTCTGACACCGTGCCGTACAGCAGGTTCACGTGGTCAAACAGCGCCAGCGCTGTAAATGGGATTGCGTTTCAGTTAGTAAGCCACCAGACGCCAAGTGAAGGACACAATCTATACATATAATAAAATTGTAACTAAGCCGAATCTGTACATTAAATATTTTTTGAAAAATATTATTGAAATAAACATTATTATCGATGCAGAGGCCGAATCTATAGTTTTTAGAATTTTTGTCTGTCTGTCTGTTCCCGGATCACAGAAAAACCACTGGAGGGATTTTGATGAAATTTGGTATGGTGATAGCTGGTTATCCGGGTCAACATATAGGATACTTTTTACTGCGGGAAAATATCTCATTTCAGAGAAAAAATGCAAAAACTGCAATGTAAGAGTACTATACTAATCTGCAAAGCCCAAGAATTTTGTTTTGATTATCTGAACGCGGGCAGAGCCGAGGGCAATGCTAGTTAAATATAAAATGTTAGTCGTCTTTGGAACTTCAAACATTGGTAACTTATAAAATATCTTCTATGATATCTCGTATCCTACCTACGTGATATATTCCGTATTGTTTTAGTATATCATATTTTGATTTATAAATATTATAAGTATGTACTTTTATGTTATGTGTATCAAGTGAAATATACATAATATATTCTTAAAAAGTTATTGAAATTCTTTAAAATCAGCATTTTGTTTGTTACACCAAGGTATGCTTTTCTTTCATGTTTAAAAAAGTCTACATACTAACGAAAGACATATTTATAATATACTGGCAATATTTTGTTTAATTGGTTATTAAAATAAAGTAAAATTATTTATTAACATGTTGCAAAAATTAATTAATTTGGGTGGTTTTTCGTCTATGGATCGAATTCGTCGAAAATAATTTATCGAATTTAAAATACCGACTTACTTTCATAGTGCCACTACCCTCGAGGTTACAGAAAGGAACCTATTCATTAAAATGAATTATGAAAATCTATTAACAATTGGCGAAGATACCGCGTAACATACTACAAACAATACAGACTTTCAGAATCAGAATTGAGTTCCTCCTTCACCTTTTTGAAGTTGATCAAAAACAAATTCAGTTTTTGATGTACCTTCATGCAGCGTATGTATGTATATTATTTCACCTATATATATATATATATATATATATATATATATATATATATATATATATATATATATATATATATATATATATATATATATATATATATATTTAAGCCAAAAATCTCTTTACCCCCAGATACGACACTCGGGTATAGAAGGATGGAGAGGAAAAGTTCAGATGTACACGGTTTAATTAAGAGAAAACAGATCAGAAAATTACAAAACTGAGTACGGTGCTGGTGAGTGGTCCACTATATATTCATAAGCAACTTTTTTGTCACAATCTGCGTCGTCACTAACGACGAAGGCAGATGCTAAATGAATGAGTAAAAATATTGAAGTGATTTTAGACAAAACCGCTTGCTCTACGAATTCCTTTATCGTTATAGACTACGGGCGACCACAGGACTTGGGAGCGATCAAACTAAAGACACATCTGACACCGTGCTTTCACTCAAAACAACATACATCGAATGTTTTATGCTACGGGACCATCGCTGAGCGAGTCAGACTTGCACCTCCCAGCTTCCTGATTTTTTAATGGTTTTATATGACGACATGGATCTGGATCAGAATCGCTGGACATTATTAATACAAAAATACGCGAGGCCCTTTACGAATGTACATGTACACACTACAACCTGTGTACTGCATGCTTTTAAATAGTATAGATTGGAATTAATTATTAAGCATTTAAAACCGTGAACTAATTATAGGAATGTATATGACTTCTTTTTTACATCGGATAAACAATTGTTTTTTTACGTAGTAAAATAAACTTTAACGATATCGTGCGCTCTACATTGTCACAAAGTGCACGAACAAAGACGAGTCGTGCCAGATCTACAGCCGATCGAACTCACTAGACCGGACCGAGGTTTCTTTTTTGCATTATTGATTATTATTTCCGTTTCCAAATTGTCCGATTACGCTTAGAAAATTCTCTAAGAGATTCCTTTGAATAAATATTAGAATGTTAAACGAACGAACGTTGTTTATAAAACTTATTTTAGGTGCGATAATGCGTCGCCCGCCCCCGCTCGCATTGCGGCTCACGTCACTCTCCACCGACACAGTCTGTATTTACATACATGGGCTACGTCACTTGTGTTTACTTTCTATATAGTATGTATTGCCTATATAAGATTTTTTTTATGAATCCTTAGTATTTTATATAAAAATAAGTTATATTACAAATTGTTTATTCCAAATGGTAATCCCCAAATAATTTGGTTCAAAAATTAAATGACATACAATATTAGTACAGCGCTGGTTTAAGAGAAATATTATTTTCTTTCCAGTATTGTGGAAAAGAATTAATATCAAATAGACAATAGTAAATAGTTCATATTTATATGTATATTTTCCATTACCGACTGTGTGTTTTATATTATAGTAATATTTAGTAATTTTATAGTTCTAAGTTTAATAATGTAGTCAAGAACTACAACGTTTTTAAGTTGTAATAAAATGTGATGACTACTTTATCAATGTCGTACAGATTGGAACGGAGATACAGATAAGTAGACATGAGTACTGACTGTGCGAGGCGAGCCACTCGTTGTAGTCGAGCCCGTCGGGCAGGTCCACGAGCTGGCGCATGTCGAGCTCGGGCAGCTTGCGTTCCAGCAGTGCTTCCTGCAGGTACAGCTTGGGGTCGCCGGCACCCTCTCCCTCGCGCTCCTTGCGCCGCGCCTTCCTGGAAACATCAACGTTTACATTTTATACTTTAGACACACGCACGCCAATCCAACTATCACAATATTAACGTATAGTTTTGCAATTGTTTATTTAATAAAGCATTTATTTGATATGTAGGTATTTGTTGTGGACATAAAATTCATTGGCAAAAGCAATTTATATGTTAAATATGACCTATGACACCTCATATTATGGATTTATTTCCAAATTAGGACTTCCACAAACCACATATGTGGCCATATTAAATAGCTAAAAAGATAATATAAAACTTTTAAACTAAAAAAACTACCCAATTTACTACCTTAGAGATTAAGAGTGACATAAAAAAAATGTTATAATGTATAAAGACTCAGAACTCTCGCATTTTCTTTAATTTGCATATTTTCAAACATAGCACTTTCAATATCATCTATATACATCAATTATTATAAGCATATATAAATATTATTGAACGAAAATGGATTATATGATAATAAAATGAAATACTTATTTAATAGCGAGTTCTACATAAGAGTTACGTAACAAAACTGCATGGAGCAAGTGAGTTGTTAGATCACTCACTACCCATTGATTTCGTGTCTAATTAAATGGTTTTATAAATAAACAGACACTCTTAGATTAGCTCGGAACAAGTCTTTTGATAAAAAAAATAATACAGACTGTATAGATAATGTTGTAAAGAAAATATTACCTATCAAGGTATGTTATCGTAAGAAAGAACTATGAGTACGTTTGTACATAGGTATCATTCTTATCCTGTTATCAAAATCGAATAATCTATAAGGATAGGCAACGACAAATTTCTGTAAACATTGTCGGCGTTTGTTAACAATCTTAAATTAAAATATAATAATTATTGTATTATGATTTTTTTCGTTGGGATCGTAGATTTAAGATTTGAAAATAAATCACCTAAGTAATGGCGCGATAACAAATACTAACTTCCACAGCACAGCGTTGATAAAAAAGGAAAGCCAGAGCACGAGGACATCCAAGTAGCGACCCATGATCTAGCGCGAGCCTCGAGCACTTCACGTAGTCTTGTTACACTGCCCTTTGCGAGTAGGAAATCGGCTAAAATTTCAATAAATTATGCGCCGAAGGTCAAGCACTCAGAATACGTCACAGAGGCTGTTCCTATAGAGAATGGAGATACGGAAGCCTAGGCTAGGACTAGCGATCCCCAACACCATTACGATGTTGCAACACTATATAGTTCGTGACCGCAATTATTGATGCAATTTCAATAGGTGATGATGATTCATGCGGGACGTTAACCTTCAATATGGAAAAACTTTATCCTCGTGGTATTAAACTAATGTAGAATATATCCCACGCACACGAAAACAACGATCGTAACTTAACAAAATATGACAACTGTGTTTCTTAACATCCGCACGGAAGTCAATTTTGACAAGGAAAATTATACATAAGAGGCGAGATCTATCGCGAAAACGAATTCAATATTTTTAGAAACATTAAGATTTGAAGTTCCATGATGTAAGCCCATTAAGAGTGTTACACTGGGTGACTGGGCTCACCTGAACGGCACCGCCGAGTACAGATACGACGGAAGAGAGAACAGCACGCCTAGAACCACTGCGTGACACATCGCGACGACGACTGTGGGACGACTGCGGAGTGCGGGCCGCCTGCGGGGAGCGCTGCCCGTGCGCCGCGCCCCACCCCGCTCTCGCACTGACCACGATTAAACTTGTCTCTGTTACACACCCGCGCATGCGCTTATCGCCCACTAAACACAGCAACAGATTGCTAAAGTGGTTGACTTTATCTTTCTGGTTTGGACACTTGGAAGTCGCATTGCACGTCAAACATGATAAACAGAGGAAGGCTACGTATAACATGATCTACCAATCCACGTACCTGCCTCCTATAAAATAGGTACTTGCTGCTAACTAAATTACATTTTTCAAATGCAATAATCGGAAAACGTAAGTCACATTTCTTCAATTGTGACGACTTACGTCTCTTTGTTTCTCTAATGAAGACGATGGCGATCTATTCTATATTTATAACCATAGCATTCTACGGAAGGGTACTGCCATCACTTGTTTGCAGTTCGCGTAGTGTAGTGCGATGGCTTGACACGGTGGCATGGTTAAAGAGTAAAAGCGTGATGGCGATCGTTAACCTCGTGTGGTGCGCGGGCGCGGGCGACGTGCCAGGCCGTAGCTTGCAGCTGTGCGCGCACGGAGCGACCTATGAACGCTAACGACCACTCTGACCTCTTTATTTTTCCAGCTTTGCTAAAACCAAAACGATATTATAAAAAATTATAAAGGGTCTAATTATAACAATTCAGGGACGAATAAAAACACTAAGCCGACAATTCTAAAATATCTTCTATAAAAAACATCCAAATTTCAATAGGGAAGATGGCTGGGTACTACCATCGTCATGGGATCCTATTATTAATATAATAAAATCAAATAATAAATCTAAACATAACAGACAGGTAGATGTAGTAAGTTGTGGATCAAAATGACAACATATCAGATTAATATTTTCTCATTTTTCATTTGTAAAATTCTTAGATAAAAGTATATAGTAATCGTGTTCCTTAGTTAAAACTAAATTAAAATTATTATCCTTAATTAATTTTAACTTTTTAAATTACACATAGAACAATTATATGGCTTAAATAATTAATACTATATCTTATATTTTTCCTTATGGTTATAAATATAATAATGGCAACACTAAATATAGATTACTAATTAATATTTTTAAAATTGTAATAATTATAATTATAACAGCAAAAATTAAATAAATAATTTTCCATCTTCAATTATAAATATAATTAAAATTATAAAAATGTTTAAAGTTATAAAATATTGTAAGGTAATTGGTGCAATTTTTATTTTGTTATTTGTGGGTACTAGGCTGTCTGTAACAACTAAACCTTCGAGACATCTAACACCTCAGTCTCCCGTGACCATGAATGCTGTAAAGCATTCGAAACGCCGGGAACCAAAAATCCAAATAAATCCGCGAAAAAAACCAATAAGATAGTTTTATTTAAAAAGGAAATAGTTTGTGATTGAAAAATTTCACTGCGGAATGAGTTAATCAAGACTTACATAATACTTTGGGAGCAAATGCTCCATCGATTTCACAGTTGCACGTTGAGGCGCCAAATGATGGAAAAACGTGGAAGAACACCCACCAAAGATGACCTATGCTCGGGCTGCCCCACAGCGACAGTGACCGAAGACATGGTAAAAAAACTCAAAAACATTGTTTTAGCAAATCATCGTGCCACGGTACGTTTAATAACCGAAGAAACAAAGATTTCGACTGGTAGTGTGCATAGCACTTTACACGAACACTTATGGATGAATAAAATATCCACGCAGTCCCCAGAACGCTTACTGAAACACAAAAACAAGCCAGGCTGAACATTTCTTGAGCTTCTTTGGAACTGTTCCAACAAGATCCTGATAACTGGCTGTACCAGTACGATCCAGAAACGTAAATATAGTCTATGCAAGTCATAGACTATATTTTTATTTCTGAAAAGACCATCGTCTCCAACCACTAAGAAATTTAAGGCGAGTCGTTCCGCCGGAAAGATCATGGGTTCTCTTTTCTGAGATAGTAAAGGTAAAGGGAGGTAGTAAGGTGGTCTTGATTGACTATCTCGACCATGGAGCTACTGTTACGGGCTCTTTGTATGCAGAACAATTAAAGAAAATTCGCGAGAAACGGTGAGGCAAACTAGCGAAACTTGTTTTGTTGTATCAAGATAGGAGATGGCTACAATTCGTGATGCTGGCTTCGAAATACTTGAGTAGCTCAAGTCGTCCATATTCACCTGACCTTGCTCCTAGTGATTTTTATCTATTTCCAAAGGAGTCCCTGAAAGGACAGAGAAACGGAAATGAAGAAGCAGTAGTCGCTGCAGTAAAGAAATTATTAGGTGCTCATGAGTGAAGGTGAAGAGTTTAAAAAAAACAAGCTTAGAAAAAAGATATTCCAAGTGTATTATACTAAAAGGCGACTACATCGAAAAATAAAATAACATTTAATAAAAGTTACCGGCATCATATTTATTCTCACTTTTTACTGAACGCACTTCTTATAACAGGATTGGTTATTAAAATACTTAGTATGTTTGGGACATACTGAATCAAATCAATCAATTTTTTTGTTTCTGTGTCTGTTTGTCTGTTTGTACGGGCTAATCTCCGAAACTGTTGGACTGATTTAAATGACATTTTGTATGGTGGTGTGTCTGTGTGTGCGCGTTTCACGCAAAATGTAATGAACCGATATCAACAAAATTTGGTAAAGTGATAACTTATTATACGGGTCAACATTTAGGACACCATTTATTTCAGGAAAACACAATAACTGTTTTATGCAGACGTCCTCAGAAAGCTTCCGCTAGGTAAACCTTACTTAAAACATACAACAAAATAATGTACTAAAAACTTGTAGGTCTTAAAAAGGCCTATAGAAAAGTCTGCAATAGGATATATCTATCTCCTAATGTATAAGGTACACTCGCAATACCTAGGCTGGCTATACCTTAAGAGATACATCAAACCAATGTACTAGAAAATTCTAGGGTCTTAAAAAGGTCTACAGAAAAGTCCGCAATAGTATACGTCTATCTCCTAAAGTACGCAATAAAAATTTATTATTAAAGGCTTCTTCTTCTTCTCCCTGCCCATTTCCCAAATCATTTGGGGTCGGCGCAGTACATCTTCAGTGTACTGCTGATAGGATTTGGCAAAAGTTTTACGACCGGCCGCCTGCCTGACGTCAACCCTCCTTGGGTATGCTATTGTCTTTCTTTGTTTGAATGGTGTTAAATATTATGCACTTTCGATTTTGTTGTGTTTTAAAACATTTTTTATACTATTAATTCAATTATTAATGTTATTTTTGGATATATTTTAAAATAAATTTTAATTAAAGGCAATTTCTTAAAAATACTGAACACTCAGCCCAAGCCTAGACAATTTTACATTCACAGGTTACCTACTGCCAAGGACTTTTTTAAATTTATTAAACCCCCCAAAAGAGTAGAAATGTAGTAGCTGAATTTTATGGGAAAAAGTAATTTCGGGCAAATTAAAAAATCAAACTCTGAAATATGTATATGCCGCTAGAACTACATGAACATACCGCATATTGTGTCAAGTATGTAATAGTCAGACTTAAGATTGTTTAAAGATTTACCGCTGTTTTTATTTTAAATTTTATAAGTAATGTAATAATTCACTGAAAATTAGTAAAATGAGTATTATGGACAGTCATATTTATTATAATATAAAAATGAATCGCTGAATGTGTTGGTAAGCGCAAATCTCGAGAGCAGCTGAACTGATTTCGCTAATTCTTTTTTTAGAATATTCCTTGAAGTACGAGGATGGTCCTTACGGAGAGAAAAATTTAAAATATTTTCTGAAAAAGTCTTAAAACAACACTTTTCTATACTCCCATAGAAAAGATTCGTAATAATACTTAAAAGTCAATTTGAATTTTAATACCATACCATAAAGTTTAAGTGTTAGTGGAGAGGTTCCGGGAAGGCAAAACAATTGAGTGACGTTAGTATCGTATAAATATTAACGTCAATATTTGTCAATATTATTAACAAAAAAATTAAAATTTATATGACTAACGCTGGCTAATAACTATTTATATCTATTTAAAACGTAGTACCTAGCGACGAACCCGAGTGAAGCGAGGGTGAGCCGCTAGTATAATAATAGTTATAGAATAAATTCGGTGTAAAGTAACTGTTAATATCGATAAGTTTTAAAATTATTTGGTGGTTGAATCACATTCACATGTATCCATTATTTTTAGTTTTAATTTTAAGACTATAAGATAGTCAAATTGGTAACGAAATAATATTTGTATTAATAAAAAAAATAGTCTAGTTTGTTTAAATAGAGCCGTGTCAATTATATTTTGTTATTCAACATATCTTTGTGTTGAAACAGCACTGAATATTAGGAATTTACAATAGAGAGCAGGTGCGTGGCGCGCTCACCTGCGCGGTGTCGATGCCGATTGCCGAAGCCAGTGGCGGCGCTTTCCACACGGAACTATTTACAGCAATTTGGGTTACGCGCAAACAACATAACCAATCTATTGTTGAAATACTTGCTGACATTCCTACTTCCACTTGGTTTGATGAGTGTATCGCTTATATCGTAAAATACAATACTAATAACAACAGTTTAAAACAATATGCAGGTGACGATCACTGGCAGCGGATGACGGCAATGAGGAACGGCGGCCGGCGTCGGCGACGACGGAAGGAGCCACTCTAGTGTCAGTGACAGATCACCTTCCGTAAACAACGCACCCCACTTTAAGCCCTCTGTTGCCCTTTGGTCAGGTCATTGGTGGTTTAATACATTTTTGTAACTTTGACGACACGTTTGGCTCAGTTTGTAGTGTACTTGTTGTGCCAGCGGTCGCGGGTTCGAGTCCCGCTGGGGGCATTCATTTGTGTGATGAGCACGAATGTTTGTACTCCAGTCATGGGCGTTTATATTTATAATATGTATGAATTTAAAGTTACATGTATGTTTTGTATCAACTATCTGGTATCCATAACACAAGTCTCGTAGCTTACCATGGAACTAGATGGCGCTGTGTATTAGTGTCCCATCATATTTATTTAATTATTTGTCACTTTGTTCTAGCAGCTAATTCCCGATTACCTAAATTGGACGCCAACAAATTCTGCGCAGTGTGTGATTGATGCTTTTAGATTATTCTATCTTAAGTGGCTCTCGTGCTTAAACACACTTTTTTTTGTTTATTTTTTTGATAATCTATATCTATCTATTCGGCCCTTTTTAACGTCCCACTGCTGGGCAGGTGGGCCATAGTCCACCAACGATGGCCAAGTGCGTGTTGGCGGACTTCACATGCCTTTCGAAAACTTGTTAGGTTCTCTCAGACAAGCAGGTTTCCTCAAGATGTTTTCCTTCACCGTAAGGCGAGTGATAATCATGGTGGTGGTAGTTAGAAATTATACGCACATGAAATATCAGAAGTGCGAGTCCCGGGATTTGGACTCGCTTTCCCAAACGAGTGCGTTATCACTGGGCTACCACTGCCTAATCAATATCTATTAATTATTATTTTTCAAAACAGTTTAATTAAAATGAAATGAAAAAATTCTATTGAAATCCAAGAAAAACTGAAATTTCCCTTTTTTATAGGATTTTAGTGTGAACTCTTATATATCACAAAAAAACTTACTGAAATTTGGCCAGAACTACATGTCGAGTCAGCTAGTCCATAATAAGAGAAAGAGTCAAGCGAGTTGTACATGAGACTATGGTATTGTATTTAATATTTTGTGAATTATTAAAATTAATTTAAATTTATATTTTTTGTTATTTCTTTAGCTCACTGTGATGAGATGAGTCCAGAATTATTTTGTGCAATTACTACGACATAGTAACGACTTCGATTTCTAAATTCTACTGTTTTTTGCATAATATTAATTATAATCCGAATATAGTTTATTGCCTGTAATATTTGAAAAATTGATATAGCGTGAATGTCTTAAACAAAAATAAAATTTCATAACTCACAAGGTTCATAACAACAAAAATTGTAACGTCTCTTTTTAAGATACGCAACAGAATACGTATCGTTTTGAGAACATTTATGCGGTCGGTCAGCGCTTAGCAAGGCCGCTTCGCCACTGAGTAACCTACTTCTCATATCTCTTGGTATATTACTTGGTGTGCATCAGAATTTTATTTAAGTCCATGTAAAGTGCTTACCAAACGATTTTACATTATATACAAAAAATAAACTAAGTATACATTTAATTTCTCTTATATTTTAAGCAAATATGTAATTATTTAAGTACATAAAAGTATTTCATATCAAATACACCAGATTTATTAATCACGCATACAAGTGATTTTCTTATCGCCGTGCAGTGTCTTTATAAGGGTGATTTTTGATAGAACAATATAAAGGAAAAACTCAACATATAGGGAATTAGACATTTTGATAGAGACAGATATGTTAGTGCGGTGTGGGTGGTGCGCTGTGACGCGCCGTGACGTCACGGGACGCCGGGGGCGGGGAGGGAGCACCTGTTGCTGGAGGGCCCGATGACGTCAGTTCTGTAATTACCCTCGACCCTTTCATTTTCTACTCCCCGTTAAATATGTATATTTTATTGTTTACCTGATTTAACTTTACAACCGACCTCTACACGTATTATGTACCAAATAAATGTTAAGGAAAACTATAATATGTATTACGTATAAAACTACGCGCTTTTACAATGATAGCGTGACAAATACTCTTTTCTATTCTCATATACTCAACGTGCGTGAGTTACTCACTCAATAATCGCGTAGGTAAGTTTTATTTTATAATTTTAAAATGGTTTTTCATTCTAACAATCATATTATTATTATTTGTATCTCTGGATTTCACGGGCTTGAAGGAGCCCGGTCCTTTGAAAAGCTTGCGTCCACAGGTCACAGGGACACAGGTCCAACTCGAAGAGACCCCATGAGAGATTCAAGTTTGTTTAATGTGATCCATCTCTGAGTAACATTATTACTAATAAACAAAATTTATTGTCTTAGTTTACTCCATAAAATAATATGATAGTTCAGAATACACTTTAAATATATAAATAAATATAAATCTATATTAATATTATAAATAGGCAGTTTCTTTGTTTTTTTTGAACGCGCTAATCTCAGGAACTACTAATGCGATTTGAGAAATTCTTTTTGCATTAGATAGCCCGTTAATTGAGGAAGGCTATAGACTATAATTATATCATCATGAAACTACCCAAGGGTGCGAGCGGAGCAGTAATCACAAATGTCAACAAGTCGTGCAGACTTCCATACATTATTGTAAATCTATACACATTATATAAATACACAAGGACGAACCCGACCAAAGCAAGGGTGAGCGAGTCGCTATATAAGATAAAGCCAAAGGATTTTTTGTAGATTGAACGCGGGCGAAGCTGCGGGTTCTGCTAGTATTATATAATATATCAAATTATTACATCCAGTAGATCTATTCTGTAAAATGTTTACGCAACTCGACAGCTGAATCCGCGAACATACTTCATAGTAGCTACATATTTTGTATTAAGTAATAGGGTAGATTCAGCAGTCTTATAAAATTACAAATCTTATGAATAAAATTCAATGTTGCTAAGCGCAAAACTCGAGAACGGCTGGACCAATTCGCCTATTTTAGTTCTTTTTTTCAAATATTCGTTGAAGTCCGAGGAAGGTTTTTATGAAGAGAAAAATTGGAAAAATTTCACGGAAAAACATAAAAGTTACATTTTTCTTTTTCTTTATAATTATGAACACAACCTTAAAATTAATATAAACTCCTTGAATGCATTTGTAGAATTGACACTTTCTCTATCTAAGATAATAATACAGTTTGGCTTTGACTTTGTCCTTCTCTCAGGTCGAAACAGAGAGACGGATTGACATGTTTTTTTTTTGTGTGGAGATAGTTGTAAGGCTGGAAAATGATATAGGCTACTTTTTTCGCGGGAGATAGATCTCATTCCCACGAGGAAACGGGATTATTAAATAAAGTTCTTATAGAATAGACTTATAGTTGTCACACACGTTATGTTATGATTAGTATTTGCAAATAACACTATTTTATAAGTAAAACCATAATCTTAATTATCTTTTACTTCTGCACAGATAATCTACAGCATAGCGCAGCGTAACAGCGAAAAGAATTAGAATATTTTTACTAGGTGCGAGCAATAAATAATTCAATTTAGTAATACATCTATATACATCATCGTGTGTTTATTTGTTTGTTTGTTTGTTTGTTTGTCTTTCTTTCACGTTGAAACGGAAAGACGGATTGGCGTGATTATTTGTGAGAAGATAGTTCGAGAGCTGGAGAGTGACATAGGCTACTTTTTACCGCGGGAGATTAATTAATTCCCACGGGAACACACGTTATAAATTAATACAATCCAAAAAAAATGATGATCAGAATTACTTGAAACTTGGTATTAATGTTCTTCAATATAATTAAATAAATACGTGTTTTAGTATTTTTCTAAATTCAACATATAAGGGGGTAAAATAGGCGATGAAAGTTTGTATGAAACTACCTTTTTAGAGTTTTTTTTGTAGTTTCAGCGCGAGCGAAGCCGCGGTTTCTGCTAGTATAATATGTGTTTATAATGTTTAGTGGTCCCTTAAGAAATTAAAAACAGACGCAGGTACAGTCGCACTAAGAGTACATTACCATCAGTTATTGGCATTGTCGGGGTAAGCGTGGTTAATTTGTACTCACATTAAAATAGCCATTGGCACAGTTATTAACATATGCAATAGTCGATTTGCCGATATAAAAATATTGTATTATTTATTTGACACCCGTATCGGCTAGCGGTTTTAAAACAGATATGCAATATATGCATTAATTTCGTAAAATAATAATTAATTAAACAATAAACACGCAAAATATCCCTAAAAACTTAAATTTATCTTTATTTGTTAAGAAACGAGTACGTTTTCTTAGTTTTTTCGTAAATTAATACTTTTAGACTATTTATTTACAAATCGAACGCGAAAGGCAATATTTATGTTATGAATAATGTTTGAAGGAAACAAAACATGGTCGACGTTGTATAAATTTTGTCTGCACAGATGATCTGCACGCTACATGATGACTAGGGGGTGGCAGGCAGCAGTCAGCACACAATGAACAGTGCAGTGGACACGGGCAATATACGCGGTAATACTGCATAAATATAAACAGCTGTTCAAATCCATTTAACGTGATGTGTGATGCCATTACTACTTTATAAGGATTCCACGGTTTCTTTTCGACCTACGTATATGGCATATAGAAAAATTTATCTTTATCTATCTAACAGCAATATGCCTTAAAATATAAGTACTTTATGTGGAGTATTTCCAAATAGGATAGATCTTTAAAATTCAGATAGATTTATTAATATAATTATTGAGATAGTGATTTTTTTTTAATATTTCAAGCCAAATACTTATATGCTTTTAAAATCGTAAATATAATGTGTAGCTACAGCGGCAAATCTCACTGAGGTAAGCAATGTGAGTAGGAGATATTATAATGCATAATTATGCGTTCAGATACAAATGTACAGTCTGCAGTCTATTGAATATGTACCTGTGCTCATAGATAGTATATAAGCATAAAGCTTTGATCAGGTACGTAGCATATTTAACGCACAGTTATAGTTCTATTGAATCAAGCCGTCAGACGGACAGTGTGCGAAAGTGACTTAGCCCCT